GTGGAAGATGCCCGGAGTCGCGTGCCAAGGCGTGCGGCACGAGCGTGCTAGTGAACTTTTGTGAATTGTCGAAACACCTGCCTTGCTCGGTTTGCGCAGATGTTTCCGCAGAGTTTGCAGTCTCAGGGCTGTGGAGGGCATCTTTTGCGTGAGAGTTTCGCTTTGGAGAGGTGCGCATTTTCTTTCAAGAGCGCAGGCCCGAGCCCGGCTCAAAAGACAGCGACCTCCAGGAGAGAGCTCGCCCACACTCAAAAAGGTGCTCCTTTTCCGTCCTCATAAGCTCGCCATATATGCCGTATCTCCCGGAGCTGACCGCGGTCCCGGCCGGCTGGCCCCTGGAGACCGTCCTCGACGCCTTCGTGCACTTGGCGAAGTACGACCCTGCTGATGCGCAGCGCGCCCTCGAGGCGCTGGCGGCGCGGCTGGTGGAGCTCTGGGCCGCGAACCCGGCGGAGGCGGCGGCCCGGCTGTTCCTCCATCTGAACGAGGACCGCTCCCAGGAGCGGCTCGCCGAGCTGCTCCTCCAGCACGCGCGGAGCGAGTGGAGCCGGTGCTGCGTCCAATCCTTCTCGGAGGGGGGGCTGGAGCGAGAGGCTGGGTGTTGGACGCTTTGGACGCTTTGGCCGTGGTGGGAGGCTGTTTTCCGCCCTCGCTGCTCGGAGCTCGCTGGGCTGCTGGCGGCGGCCGAGGCGGAGGCCGAGGAGACGGCGCGGAAGCGGCAGAAAGTGGAGGCGAAGGGCCAGGAGGAGCAGCTCCGGGAGGAGAAGAGGCAGCTGGGCGAGCGCCTGGAAGCCGCCGAGGCCGAGCTCCATTCCGCGAAGGAGGAGCTCTCGCAGCAGAAATTGCAGAACGCGCAGCTCAACGCCAGCTTGGAGGTGGCGCAGGCCGCAGCTGCAGAGAAGCAAGCGGAGCTCCAAGCCGCGAAGCGCGAGTGCGAGCTGCTCACGGAGCGTGTGGCAGTGGCGGAAGCGGCGGCAGCGCACAAGGCACGCGAGCTCCAAGCCGCGCAAGACGAGGGTGCCGCGCAGAAGGACCGGTGCGAGCAGCTCGCGCGTCGCTTGGATGCATCAGAGGCTGAGGCATCAGGAAAACACTGCGACCTTCAAAGGCTGCAAGACGAGTGCAGCAAGCACAGGGAGCGTTGCGAGCAGCTCGCAACCCGTTTGGCTGCTGTGGAGGCTGTCTCCAGAAACAAGCCAGACAACAAGACCCTGGTAGAGAATGCCGTCTACAAGGATCGCTGTGAGCAGCTCAACAAGCAGCTGACAAACGCAGAGGCCAAGCTGGGCCAGATGCTGGTGGAGAAGGGGGAGTGCCAGGAGCGGCGTCGTCAGTTGGAGCGCCAGCTTGCTGAGGCGAACAGGGAAGTCAAGCGCTTCGGTCGGCATGGAGCTCATGCCGCCCTCGCCTGCCATGGCGAGAGTGAAGGAGCCTCCAGCAGCCCTGAATCCGGCCTGACCGAGCAGATGGGATACACCATGGTGGATGTTGATGACGACGCCTCGTCGGTTCTGAGCTGCTCATCCTGGTTCTCCGTGAAGAATCACTGCTTCATGTCAGACGCCATCTTCAAGACACGCAGCTGCGGAAACGACTTCTTCCTCCCAGGCGGCGATCTCAAGAAAGGGTCCCAAGTGGTTGCCGGAGACGACGCGACCATTCTGAAGGTGGCTGCCAACCCCGAACTCTGCCGAGCCACCGAGGTCGTCGACTTGCAAGCAGGAGCTGCCACGCTGCGAGTGACCCCGGACCACCTCGTGCAGGTCCCAGTCCCGGATGCAACCGGCAAGTCAGGGAAGATCGCCGAGAACCGCGACTATGGCTACCTCCCGGCCGGTGACTTGAAAGTGGGGGACCACGTGATGCTCGATTCCGGGGAGCCGGTGGTTCTGGCCAGCGTGGACCGTCGGCCCGCAGACTGCGAGGTGCTGAAGATCGTCTTCGAGCCGGACCTGCCCGTGGCTGTCTTCTCCTCCCCGCCCTGCATCCTCAGCAAAGGCCACAAGCGGAAGCCCTCGACCCGCCGCGGGAAGGACAAGAACCGAGGCCGGAGCCAAGGCAGCCAAGGAGCAGCGGACGAGCCCGACGAGACCATGGACGGCGGAGCCTCTATCCCGATAACGGCCGGGGACTACATGGACTGATTAGAGTCTTTTAGAGGTCCTTCCAGGTGCTTCTAGCGAGACAGTGCGAGACAGAGCCAGCACATGGCGTCTGTGAGTTTAGAGTCGAATTTATGCATCTCGGGTGACGCGTGGCCACATTCAGCTCAGAGCACGGCTCTCAGAGCCTGTGCCTCAGCTGCTTGAGGGCTTGTTGCCGGAGTCGCTCGAGTGCAGCGCACGCGGCCCTAGCTCGACATACCGAGCACACGGTCTGCGGGGAAGGAGGGTGTAGATAAGGGTGTGTCATAATTTCAATGTCCGTATCCTTAAGCATTGACAGGTCATGTTGTATCATGTTGTCGTCTCATGTTGAGCCGGGCGCGCGGTGTGTGCAGGAGAGCCGTTTTGCATGGACTCTCTGCAGACGTGGCTCACATTTTTGAACCTTGCGCAGAAGATCGCGGGTTGAGTGCTCGCATGGCGAATCGATCTGGACTGGCGAGAGCTCGGCACGCGATCGCATGCAGCGCTTGTTGAGCAGGTGCCAAGTTCACATCTTGCGCCAGTAGCTTAGCTTTGCACTACTTCAGGCACTTTTTAAATGCGCAAGGCATTGCAGATTGTTGTAAGTGTCGTCGTTGACTTCGCCACTCTCAAGCAATAGAAGATTCCAAAAGCCTCAAAACCCCAAATAAACCCTACAAACTCCACCAGCCCTACTGGGCAGGCGGCCTGAGCAGCGGCCTTGCCAAGGCGAAGGGTCTTTTTATGACAGGGGTAGCCGGGACGGGCGGGACCTGTACACCCTCTAAGCTCATTACTGCCCAATTACTATATCGGGTTTAGAGTTTAGGGTTTAGGGTTTATAGGGCTTTAACGCTAAAGCTTGCTGGGTATATTGGAGTCTTCTTGGGGCCCGTTTCCTCTACGAGCCTTCTCGAGGCTGCAGGACTTGGAGATGCTCCGGGCGCAAGGTCTCTTCGGTTTCAGGGGCTCAAGGATAACCCTGATATCAACCTGAAGTTTCCCTTAAAACCCGAAACCCACCAGACTCTGAACCACATGAGCCCACACCCTACATCCTCCAAACCCCAAACCCTATATAAACCCTATAATGAATAACCCGAAGCCCCAGACCCTAAACCCTAACCCTTTGTAAACCCTATAATAACCCTAAGCCCCTGACCCTACACCCTGTTTAGGTATTTTTTGGGTTGGCATCCCAGGCTTGCTGTAATTTTATGAGACCCTCAACCCTAAAGCCTATAAGCCCTATACCTTCAGAGCTCACTACTCGTCGGGATGCCTCTGCTGCACAGCGCTCTGAGATTCTTAGGCAGGCTGCAACAAAATCCACCCCAAGAAGGCCCTAAATCCTTACACCCCTGAGCCCTTAAACCTCCCCTGAACCCCAAACCCCGAACGCCCCCAACCCCGTTTCCCTAAACCACCCTATAGACCCCTCGACCACCCTGAGCCACCAATCCCCAGACCCTCAACCCCCAAGCCCCCTAACACCCTAAGCCCAACCAAGCCCCCTAAACCCCGAAACAACCCCTTATATAGACCCCTAAACAACCCCTGAAATCCTAAGCCCTACAAGCGCCCTAAACCCCTAAACAAAACCCCTTAAACCCCTTTTGAAGTCCAAAGCGTCCGAGATCCCGGAGTGAGCGCTGTGGACTGGGGGGCTCGAGCCTGAGGCAGCTCCAACACAGGGTTTCATGGTTTCAGGGTGTTGGGCTTTCAAGTTTACAGGTTTTTAGGGTTTCTTTCATTGAGGTTCAGGGTGTTCTGGGTGTTCGGGTCCTTTGGGGGCTTGTGTAGGGTTTGGTTTTACTGTAGGGTGTTAGGGGTTTAGGGGTTTGAAGTTTGGAGTGTTGCTAGGGGCTCATAGGGCTTGTAGAGGGTTTTAGGGTTGTGGAGCGTTTTGCGTTTGTAGCTTATCGGTGCTCATAAGCTTCAGCCACCACAAGGACGAGCAAACCCACTGAAGCCGAGGAAGCAGCACAGGTAGCCCTACCGACCACCATGCGAGTAGGAGATGGAGACGAGAGTGTGAAGCAACCCTACCCCAACTTGGGTCCAACACCGAACAGCCACTGAGTCCTCCAGCCCCAACAGCCTGCAGCGACCGCATCATAGCCAGCTGCAGCCTTGGTGACATGGGGGGCTCCTCCATAGACTCTTCCAAGGGAGCACACGCACCCTAAACCCTAAACCCTAAACCCTAAACCCTAAACCCTAAACCCTAAACCCTAAACCCTAAACCCTAAACCCTAAACCCTAAACCCTAAACCCTAAACCCTAAACCCTAAACCCTAAACCCTGAACCCTGAACCCTGAACCCTGAACCCTGAACCCAACTCCTTCAGTGCCCAGGTGCTCAGGGGGCCGGTGTATTTGCATCAACCTCCCCCCCCGTGCCGGGGCCCCTTACTTCCGGGCCTTGGAGCAGCACGTAGTGACGTAGTTGGGGGTGTCGGGCTGGGGAATGAGTTTTGTAGACTTCTTCATTATTATGCAGGACCCAGAGTGGGTCCTTATTCCCTTGGTTTTTTGAGGGCTTCGGTTCCCCTTTATAGTGCCCTTTAAACAAAAAGGGTGCCCTGCCTTACTCCTAGGTCACTCTTAGATCTGGTGATGATTGAACCTTGTTGGCCAACGTTGCTTATGAAAAGGTTCCCTCCGACTGCGGTAGCTCTCAAGCTAGACATGCTGTCGCCGTAGGCCATGCGCAACATGGCCACCAGCCTCAAAACTCTTTACAGTCATCCCGCAGGTCATGGGTTCTTGGAGTGGTTGCTCAAATTAGTCTGCTTTATGCCTTTTCGTGATAAGCCCTGCAGTCTATATGCCAGACCCGTCCGAACTGCTCCCATGCAATCCGACGCCATGCTCCGCAGCGACTCCCGAGTCTCTCGAAGATACACAACGCTGGAGGCTGTGGCCTTGCACGAGTCGGTTCCTCCGGATCGCTGGTGCGTGACATACGCAGACCTGAAGTACCTGAAGCAGGAAGTGCGCCGGGCCGTTTCCGAGGGCGAGCTGCGCCCTTCGGATCGCGCCGCGGAGGATCGCGCCCTTCCGCCTTCTGACGAGGTTCATGGGCCGAGCATCTACCTCGTCAACGAGAAGCACATCATGCCGGTGACGGAGCAGGCCGGCAAGGTGAGCTGGGCCTTGATGAGGCACCCCGAAGGCCTGGACTGCGACCTCTTCATCAGCCACGCCTGGCAGGAGGGCATCTTCGAGTTCCTCTCCAAGGTCCTCTTCTCCTGGCCTTCAGGCTTGATGCACTTATGAAGCTGAATACACTTCTATCGTGTCATCGACTACAGAGACTTACGATTTTCTCGCAATCTTTACAGAGGCACATCCATATAGAATTAGAAATGAAACACACACACACACACACCCACACACACACACACACGCACAGAAGATACTCAGTTATTGCACGGTAATTAGCAAAGTCAGTCTAAACATAATATGTAAACGACCATGTAGTATGAATCCATACTAAGGTTCCCGATATTACTTGCGCAAGTTATAAGTGAAGTTACAAGTTGGTTAAATTATGTTATGACCAAGACAAGTATACATCTATGTAGGCTATCTAATCGGAACAGATATATGTAAGTTTATGTATACTTAGCTTACATATGTGTTTACTTCGGTGTTAGTTCGGGGGTACTGCGGCGTTACGTAACAGCTACTTAAATGGTACTTAGTTTTCATGTCTTTTTGTGTCTAAAGCACAGCACGAAGCCAAAAATGTATCAAAGTATGTATTTTGGTGGTTAAGAAGTTTTCTTCGATTTGTAGGCTGTTAAAGTCACAGTGTTCTTGGTACAAGTTGGAGGCCTTTTGCTCAAGGAGCTGCGTAGCTTTTAAGGAGTTTTTCGTATAGGCCTTGCAACTGCCATGACGGAGGTCGTGGACCGCAAACTTCATTTCCGTGGGGAAATACAACGACGGCTAATTCTTGTATTTTCTTGTATGGGAAAAGCATACGGCCGGATTCTTGTTTTCTTGTGTAGAACGATAGGCCTCTGGGACAACCACGGCCCATTCTTGTTTTCTTGTATGACCAGCAGCATCACATGAGCCATGTCCTGTAATCTGTTCCTGCGTCCTGGCCGGGATCTTGTATTCTTGTATGGCTGGCACGGGCCGTTGCCTCTGATTCTTGTATGGTTCTTGTATGGATTTCCACGTGCCGGCAAACCCCCATATTCGCGTGCAGCCGCTCTGGTCTGCCCGAGCCGACTTCTGCAGCTTCCTAGTTCCGCCCTAAACGGGTTTAGGGTTGAGGGTTTAGGGCAATTTTTTACAAGAACAATAGAGACTCTCACACATGTCGTCCTACATTTAGCCAATGTCTCACCACATTTCGCTCAAAAAACTCAGACTCAATGTTTTTTTTGTCATTCTCAGCGTCCCAATCAAAAAAACCATGTAAACCAAAAGCCAACCTATTTAGGGGCTACTTATAAGTTAGGTTTTAACTTAGCTAAGTATACTTAGGTGCTACGTGTGCTAAGTAACTTATAAGTATGTTTATAACTTCGACAAGTTATTTCGGGAACCTGAGTACATCATACACGTATGCAATATGACAATGCATATTTACAAGCACACACACACACACGTGTTTTTGTTGCATGTGCTACTTTGTTGTGCGTAAATACATCTACTATAGGCACCGAACACAAGGCTTCTTTGAGGCCTCCATGCGCCCCGCAAGGGGCTGAAGCTCAGGGTTACCTCCTTGAGCCAGGTGTAGGGTTTGGGGTTTAGGGTTTAGGGCTTAGGGCTTAGGGCTTAGGGCTTAGGGCTTAGGGCTTATAGCCCCCCCCTGACCAAAATCGTCCTGCCACACAAGTCCGCTATGTAGCATTGGCCCGCGTTGCCCTATAAACCCTAAGGCCCTAAGCCCCGCCTATCCCCCGTACCCGATCCCAGTTCACGGGACCCAGGTTCCTGGGGGCTCATGAGTTGGGCCCCCTGACTGGCATCCGCAGCCGGGGGAAAAAAATGGGGATTAAATCAACGATTAAATCAACCATACCCACAAAACGGCTGTGGGTTTCCCCTGCCCGTTCTCTATAGCACGATGGAAGAGTGGCCTCGAAAGGATAGTAAAGGACCAGAGTTGTTCGCGTCAAGCCCTAAACAACCCTAAACCCTAAACCCTAAACCCTAACCCCACCCTAACCCCTAAACCCTAAACCCTAAACCCTAAACCCTAAACCCTAAACCCTAAACCCTAAACCCGCCCGCCACCCCTCTCCTTCTGTTGGTTGTGGGCGAGCCGAGGGTCAGTCCCGGAAGGTGGAGGGCGAAGGTTTATATAGGCTTTATTTAGGGTTTGGGGGTTCAGGCCTAATAAAGCAGTACATGGCCCGTTGCAGAACGACTAAAACGCACGGGAAATTTCAATGATAGTCAATGAGCGTGAATTTCCCGTTCATTCTTTCATTTCCTTGTTTGCAAGTTCACCATTAAATGTTAATCACGAGCGCGCTTTTCCCTTTCGCCGCTTGTATTAATGTGAAACCCGTGTGAACAGATGAAAATGCACCATTGACAAGTTACGGCGTTAAAGGACTCATTAGAAGCCCCAACAAAGAACTTTTGTTTACCGGGGCTTTTCTGGGTCTTTTACTGCACTTTCACTCTTTTTGAAGCCAATGCTATACTCATGAAGGTGCACATCTCATTCGTGTTCCAAGTGTTTCAAGTGTCCAACTGTCCCACATGACTCACGTGTCCTCAAAAAAAGTTCGACATGTGCGCTGATGTTTAGGCTGGCTCCGGTTTGGCCCGCTGTGGGTTGTGATTGGGTGGCCTTGAGTTGGGCACGTCTACATTAAAGCGCGCTTACCAGCGCGCGAACCAGGCACACCCTAAACCCTAAAACCCTACATGTATGAGTTCTTCTTCTCCAAGTCATCATGGTGAGTGATTTGTTTCATGGTGCCCGGCGTCAGATCTTTGCCGATTCGAATATGAATATTAGTAGAACAGATTAGATAGTTTTGCTCGTGCCTGCAGGCGCGCGTCATGCCTGGTGCTGCATGCTGGCCAACCCGCAAAACTTGGACATAGGAGCCTTGCTACAGTCCCCTGGCAATTCGCCATTTGCGCTGGCTCTGCAAGCCTCTACTTACGTCCTTGTTGTTCCAAATCGTGAATGCAGCGTCTACACGAGGCTCTGGTGTTGCTATGAGGCATATTGCGCCCATGAGACAGGAAAGACGATTCTTATTGCCAGGCGCTCGAACAGAAAGGAGATGGGCACAGCTTTGTTCCGGACGCTTCTGCTGGGATTGACAGGTATGATTACTGCAGTGATTCTGAAGTCATGGAAGCACACCGCCTTCCACACTTATGCTCACCATGTTATCAGTCTACTGGCTTCTTTGTAGCCCAGTGGTAGCCTTTTTGCTCTTTTTCGGGTCAAGGTTCCCTTACTATAAAGTCACTAACCCCCAGAAAGGGTACCCTTCTTATTGACAATATTGTTCCTGGGCCACCAAGGCTTTATGCCTCGCGGTAGCCAGCGCTGTCGCTGGCACAACTCTTCAACACAATGGGTGCCGAAGTGTATTGAACGGGCTTGGAGCATTGGCAGCGGGGCTACTGACGGTGCATTGGCACACCGTTCATGGTTTCCTTGACCTTCCCGGGTTCCAAGAGATCGATACAGCGCTCGCTGAGCAGCGAATCATTCTGGGTTGCTTCGCAGTGTGCTTCTGCTTGATGGAGGTGGACCGTGTCAACAGCCTCTCCAGGGCGGAGGAAGCCCTGCAGCTCCAACGAGGGTTCCGGGGTTCAATTGCTCACGCAACTTGCTCCAGGGCCGAGGATGCGGCACGAATTCATGCGGAGATCGGAACGAACACGGAAGCCGTGGACTATGCCATCGGAGTCCTGTTGGCCGCCGGGATGTCAACGCCGACTCTTCGACAGGTGGCACGTGCGGGGGTTGGGATTCAGGAGGCCGGGCACGCTGAGATTTCCGTGCCTTCCCTCGCACTGGTGCCACTTGGTCTGATTGCGACATTGCGCCTTCTCGACGACATTGTGTGTCGGCACCCCTGGGTTCATGTGGTGATTCAGAGCCTTCCTGTTGCGTGCAGGGTCCTGCTCGCCATCGTGATCTATCGAAGCTCCAGGGACGAGCGATGCTTCATCATGAAGTTGATGACCAGACTCCTTGCTGTGTACATCCTCGTCATGTTCCCAGTTGTCATGTTCTGGGAGTGGAAGCAACTCCTTCAAGACCGGCCCCAGCAAGCCTGCGCTGGAGCCCTGTTTTTCTTGACCACAAGCGGCTTCGCCCTCCTTGGCATGAAAGGTACCTTGGCCCTCCCCTACTGCGGGCCCTGCCTCCTGCAGCTCTTTCTTGGGCGCGGCCTGCACGCGCTTCGCCTGGACTCAGATGCACTTCAGGAGGCGAAGCGTGACAGCGAGTCCGCGAGCTCTGACGGTTCTGACTCTGATTGAGTGAGTCCGCTTGCACGACATATGGTGCAAGCACTCAGCGGGAAAGGCAGCCACATGATCAAAACCATGAGGAAGATGGTAGTTGCATACCAAGAGTGAGCTTGTCTCCTAAACCTGTAAACCCTAACCCTTAAACTCCAAAACCCTAAGCCCCAAAACCCCAAACCTCAACGTTTAACCTTAAGACCCTAACACCCTACAACAAGCATTCTAGGGGGCGGTTTTTGGGTAGGGGACTCTTTGCTTCGGGGACGGGCTTGGGGCCTCTTACGTAGGGGTTAGGGTTTAAGGGTTTTAGGGTTTTCGGGTTTTAGGGTTTTAGGGTTCAGTATTTTGAAGGGTTTAGGAAGCCTCTTTCCTGAATGCCTTTCGTTAGTCACAAGGTTTCGACCCTGGGGGTTGTAGAACTTATTCGGGCTTCGGGTTTAGGGCTTATAGGATTTGTTCGGGTTTCGGGTTTAGGGCTTATGATTTCGAGCTTATTAGGGTTTAGGAGGGTTTCAGGTTTAGGGCTTTTGCTAGGGTTTACAGTGCGAAGGGCGCAGTCATGTGTAGAGTGTCCACTTAGAGTGTCCCTTGATGGGTTCTATTTGGGGATGTATTGTGTGCTTGGCTCCCTACTACTCCACCCGCTAAGATGCTTTTAGGCGAGTTGGAGGCCTCTAGAAGCCCAAAATATGGCGACCCCATATATTCAGCCCCTGCCAAGAGCCTTAACGTAGAAACCGGCTTAAGACCTTAAAGCGCTTGCTTACCCTTTACAACCTATAAACCCTGTGAAGCCAATCACCCTAAACCCAATCACCCTAAAAACCCTGTAATCCCTAAACCCTGAACCCTAAAACCCTAAACCCTGAATAAATATTGACGAGGCCCTGTTAGGTTGAGCTCACGCGTTGGAGACCTGCGGTTTCCTGCAACACTACCAAAACACCTCAAACCCAACAACTTACAGGATTTAGGGTTTCGGGATGAGGGCTTTGAGCAGGTCTTATTCGCACCTGTCAGGCCTCATGTACACTCCACGAGACCCCTCGAACTACCCCCGTAAGCCTTGTAAGAGCCCTCAACGAAACTTTGTCATAGTTGGGTAACATTTTACATTTTTAAGGGTACCTAAACCCAATAAGGAATATAAGTTTAAAATTTTAATATTGTCCCAACCATGAACTAGAAAAGTGGCTCGGCCCACATTTCCCAGAGTTGAACTAAAGCCCTCCGAGGGAAAGGCGAAGCCAGGTTAAGGAGTTGAGGCCTTCTGTAGGGTGTGGGGTTTGGGGTTTAGGGTTTTAGGGTGTTAGGGTGTTAGGGTGTTAGGGTGTAAGGTTTAGGGTTTAGGGTCTAGGGTCTAGGGTTCAGGGTTCAGGGTTTAGGGTTTAGGGTCTAGGGTGGGGTTCTAGGGTTTAGGGTTTAGGGTTTAGCGCACAGGTTTGATCCGGGCGGCCACGCCCCCCGAGCTGCAGCAGTGCGCAGGTGGCCTCAGTGACTGGAAGAGATGACTGAAGCGGGCTTTAGGTTTGATTCTGAGGCTCAAAATTATATAGGGTCTTTTGGGTTTTAGGCATTTTTCCGGGCCAGGGTATTTCGGGTGTAGGGTTTCTGTGATAGGATCTTGGCCGATTTTGGGGTTTCTTCAAGCCCATACCCATGAAAGCCCTAACCCAACCCAAGGGAAATCGTACAAGCTCTTCAAACCCTTACATGCCTTATAGGCCCCAAAGCCCAGGGTTCGGCCGCTGCCAGAGGCCTTTCCGTGGCGGGTTCGCAGAGGCGCCCTGTGTAAGATAGGGGTTCTGTAGGGCTTTCTAATCTCCAGAATCAACCGCTGCACAGTTCAGGGTCTAGAATAGCCTGTCACAAAACCCTCGCGGAGCTGCAGAACTTGGGGATTGGTCCGGTGGGCATATTTTCCGGCCGCATGAGGTGTACGTGACACTATAGAACCCTATAAGCTCTAAAAGCCCTAAACCCAGACATAACTGGAAACACCAGATTTTGTTCCAAGGGCTGTAGACTTGTGCATGTTTCGCCATAGGCCCACATGCAACATGGGCCCTGAGCCCCAGAATGCTCTGCAATCATCCTGTAGTTCATGGGTTTTGGGGGTTTGGGAGAAACCGACAGTTCAAAACTTAGCCTGCTTCATGGCATAATGTGTGGCATTTTGTATAAGTCCTGCAGACTATATGCCAGACCCGTCCGAACTGCTCCCATGCAATCCGACGCAATGCTCCGCGACTCCCGAGTCTCTCGGCGATACACGACGCTGGAGGCCGTGGCCTTGCACGAGTCGGTTCCTCCGGATCGCTGGTGCGTGACGTACGCAGACCTGAAGTACTTGAAGCAGGAGGTGCGCCGGGCTGTTTCCGAGGGCGAGCTGCGCCCTTCGGAGCGCGACGTGGAGGATCGCGCCCTTCCGCCTTCTGACGAGGTTCATGGGCCGAGCATCTACCTCGTCAACGAGAAGCACATCATGCCGGTGACGGAGCAGGCCGGCAAGGTGAGCTGGGCCTTGATGAGGCACCCCGAAGGCCTGGACTGCGACCTCTTCATCAGCCACGCCTGGCAGGAGGGCATCTTCGAGTTCCTCTCCAAGGTGCTCTTCTCCTGGCCTGCAGGCTTGGGCGCTGCTGAGGATGCACTGTAAACCGAGTACTTCAGTCGGCAAGTAGTCGACTACAGAGACTTAGGAGATGTTCGCGATCTTTTCAGAGGCAAATCCTATACAGTCAGAAGTGAAACACACACACAGAAGATACGTAGGTGTTACACCGGAATTCGCAAAGTCAGTTTAATCATAGATATGTAAACGACCATATATAGAATAGACATATATACATCATACACGTATGCAATATGGTGTATATATATACGTATATATATATATATATACACGCATACCTACGCGTGTTTGTTGCACGTACTACTGTGTTATGCGTGAATACATCAGTAGGCACCGAAAACAAGGCGTGGGTTTCCCCTGCCCGCTTTATAGCACGATGGAAGAGTGGCCTTCAAAGGCAAATAAAGAACCAGAGTTGTTCACCTCAAGCCCTAAACAACCCTAAACCCTAAACAACCCTAAACCCTAAACCCTAAACAACCCTAAACCCTAAACCCTATAAACCCTAAACCCTGAACCCTAAACCCACCACCCCTCTGGCATGTGGGCGAGTCAAGCACCAGGTATAGGGTTTAGGGTTTAGGGTAAGGGGGTTTATGGTTTAGTGTTTGAGGTTTAGGGGTTCCAGCCCCAGAGTGTGTTGACCTTGTTCCCCCTGCAAGTGAACAAGTGAAGACAGAGTGAATAAAGTGAACACATGAGCACAGTGAATGGGGGACTTTTGAACGAGCGAACGAACAGAAGAGAACACTTAATGAGAATAAGACACTGGCCGTTCTTCTTATTCTTCGTCGTCTTCTTCTTATTCTTATTCTTATTCTTATTCTTATTCTTATTCTTATTCTTATTCTTATTCTTATTCTTTTTCTTATTCATCTTTCGTTCAACCGCTATATTATTTATATTGTTCTTTATTTCTACACATGGATGGGAAATTGCAATGATGGTATTGAAGCGTGAATTTCCCGTTCATGTGATTTCCTTGTTTGCTAGTCCACTGTTCAAATTTTAATCACGCGTGCTCTTTTCCCTGTCGCCGCTTGTATTACCATGAAACTCGTGTGAACAGATGAACAGAAAATCCACAATGGACAAGTTACTGCGTTGAAGGACTCACTAGAATCCCCAACAGAGAACTTCTTCTCACAGGGGCTTTTCTGGGTATTTCATCCACTTTCACTCTGTTTGAAGCCGATATTACAATCACTACGGCGCGCATTTCAGCAACTGTTCCTAGCGTTTCAAGTGTCCAAGTGTCCCACGTGATTCACGTCTCCTCCAAACATGTTCTACATGTGAGTTTGGGTTTGGGCTGGCTCCGGTTTGGCCCGCTGTGGGTTGTGAATAGGGTTTCCTTGAGGCGGGCATAGCGCGCGAGCTTAGCACACCCTATACCCTAAACCTCATAGAATGTATGAGTTCTTCTTCTCCAGGTCATCATCATGAGTGCTTTTGTAGCAGTACTTGATAGCTTTGCTGATTCGATTTCTTCAACAGAACAGATCATAGATAGTTTCGCGTTGTGCCTGCAGGTGCGCGGCATGCCTGGTGTTGCATGCTGGCCAATCCGCAAAACTTGGACATAGGAGCCTTGCTACAGTCCCCTGGCAATTCGCCATTTGCGCTGGCTCTGCAAGCCTCCACTTACGTCCTTGTTGTTCCAAATCGTGAATGCAGCGTCTACACGAGGATCTGGTGTTGCTATGAGGCATATTGCGCCCATGAGACGGGAAAGACGATTCTTATTGCCAGGCGCTCGAACAGAAAGGAGATGGGCACAGCTTTGTTCCGGACGCTTCTGCTTGGATTGACAGGTGTGATTGCTGCAGTGATTCTAAAGTCATGGAAGCACACCGCCTGCCACACTGATGCTCACCATGTCATCAGTATACTGGCTTCTTGGCAGCCGAGAGGTACCCTTTGTCCCTGTCTGTTGGTGGTTCAAGGTTCCCTTATGAAGCAACCAACCCCCAGAAAGGGTATCCTCATTTTAACATTGTTCCTGGGCCACCAAGGCTGTATGCCTCGCGGTAGCCAGCGCGGTGGCTGGCACAACTCTTCAACACAATGGGTGCCGAAGTGTATTGAACGGGCTTGGAGCATTGGCAGCAGGGCTACTGACAGTGCATTGGCGCACCGTCCATGGCTTCCTTGCCCTTCCGGGGTTTCAAGAGATCGATATCGCGCTCGCTGCGCAGCGAGTGCTTCTTGGTTTCTTCACACTCTTGTTCTGCTTGATGGAGGTGGACCGTGTCAACAGCCTCTCCAGGGCGGAGGAAGCCCTGCAGCTCCAACGAGGGTTTCGGGGTTCAATTGCTCACGCAACTTGCTCCAGGGCCGAGGATGCCGCGCGCATTCATGCGGAGATCGGCGCCAACACGGAAGCCGTGGACTACGCCATCCGAGTCCTGTTGGCCGCTGGGATGTCAACGCCGACCCTGAGACAGGTCGCCCGTGCGGGGGTTGGGATTCACGAGGCCGGCCACGCCGAGATATCCGTGCCCGTCCTAGCACTAGTTCCGTTTGGTCTGATCGCGGCGCTGCGCCTTCTCGACGACATTGTGTGTCCGCACCCCTGGGTTCATGTGGTGATTCAGAGCCTTCCCGTTGCGTGCAGGGTCCTGCTCGCCATCGTGATCTATCGAAGCTCCTGGGACGAGCGATGCTTCATCATGAAGCTGATGACCCGACTCCTGGCGGTGTACATCCTCGTCATGTTCCCGGTTGTCATGTTCCTATATCCCCCCCCCTTGGGAATTATGTGCTATTTTTCTTTATATCAAACCCAAGAGGATATTATAAATCTTAATTTTTGTTAAGGTTCTAAGGGGAAGTATAGGTTCTGGGAGTGGAAGAACCTCCTGCAAGACCGGCCCCAACAAGCGTTCTTGGGAGCTCTGTTCTTCTTGACCACAAGCGGCTTCGCCCTCCTCGGCATGAAGGGCACCTCGGGGACGAATTATGACCCCTAAAAGGGTTTAGGGTTCATATTACCTCAAAACAGGAATTATAGAAAAGGGTTTATGGTTCATATACCTTAATAATAGGAATTAGAGTAGTCTAAGGTATAGCACCCCAATTTTAGGGTTCATATTACCTTAACATAGGAATTATAGCAGAATAAGGTATAGAGGACCCCAAATTTTGGGGTTCATTTGGTCCCCAAGGTACCTTGGCCCTCCCCTACTGCGGGCCCTGCCTCCTGCAGCTCTTTCTTGGTCGCGGCCTGCACGCGCTGCGCCTGGACTCAGATGCACTTCAGGAGGCGAAGTGCGACAGCGAGTCCGCGAGCTCTGACGATTCTGACTCCGATTGAGTGAGTCCCCTTGCACGACATGGGGGTTTCTGCAATTTGGGCTACCTTCTTGGGTCCTTATGATAAGGGGATCCTACTCTTCGGGGTTCTGTACTAAGGGTGCCTTATTTTCGTAAACCCCCACATCTGCTGCAAGCACACAGCGGGAAAGAAAGCCACATGATCAAAGCCATGGGGAAGAGGGCCGTTGCATGATGGTAGTTCCTGTACCAAGAGTGAGCCGGTCTCTCCGCAAAATCAGTTTGCACAGTATACTTGTGCGTGTCCAACCAAGCCTATGCCAGATACTATTTTGGAGGTAAGCGCACTCGGCCTGAAGCTTTAAACCCTTTTTCATAGAACAGATCTGAATCTAAGCCTTTCTCAGGGTTGGTTGTCATGGTTTTGGGAGTTTAGGGTCTGGTTGCAGTTCAGGGCACATACCCGAAACCTGGGAAAACACCATAAACCCACTGGTCGGGGGGTCAGGGGTCGAGGTTAGACCTGGTGCTTTGGGATATTCCCCCTTAGACTAACAGTCCTTGGTGGGGATTTTAACAGGGGGGGGGTACGGGACTGGCAGTAGAAGGGGGAACATCCCAACTGGTGCTTGAAAGAGCCGGAAGTTGCTCTGGGATGTTTTGCGGCCCTTGTATTTACTCAAGGGCTTACGAGGCCGGGCTGTGGGGCTTGTAGGGCCCACAGGGCTTAGGGGCTTATTGGGTTTAAAGAGTGTGTACGGTTTTTGCTAGGGTGTACATGGGGTTTGTAGTAGCTACATGACATTCATATCTAGTTTACAGAAATATCCGTGCATACATACATATTATTACATATGTATAGTACTAATTTAAACTGAATTACATTATCTCATATGCATATATATATATATACACAGTATTACTGAAACTGAATTACATTATCTCATATATATATATATATATATATGTAGGGCCCACGGCTCGGGTGGCCACGGCCCCCGCGAGTCGCAGCAGCGCAGCGGTGGGCCCAGCGTGTGGAAGGGATGGCACCAGGGGAGTTGATTTAGGGTTTAGGGTTTAGGGTTTAGGGTTTAGGGTTTAGGGTTTAGGGTTTAGGGGAGATTCGATGCTGAGGCTCAGAGTTGGGGTTTGTAGGGTATAGCGATTTTAGGGTCTAGCATTTGGGTACCAACAAAAAACTATATATATATATACATATAGGGCTTACCTAGGGCATGTATATATATATATATGTACAGAGAGAGAGAGGGAGAAAAAAAAAGACCCAACCCCGCAAACCCTACTACGAGACCCTTTCAGCAAGCCCCGGAAGTCCAAGAGGCCATTGGCTGATAAGATAGGAGTCGGAAGAGTTACGAGTAATCTTCCCTTCTAGGGTCCCTTTGTGATTATACTACAATACCCCCCCCCCCAAAAAAAAAAAAAAAAAAAAAAAGAAGCCTGTTCTAATTTATCTTAGGCGCCTACAGTAGGGTGTTGTTGCATTTTCATGCACCGCATGCACTCCCGGCTTGATGTTCAGGGCGTTTAGGGTTTGTGCAGGTTTTGCGTTTTTGAGTTTAAGGGTTTGTAAGGTTTAGGGTTTGTAAGGGATATAGACTTATGGGGTTTAGGGTGCCAGAGATGTAGGTGGGGTTAGGATTTTTTTGTGAGTGCGTGTACGATTGTCAGTGCTTCCCATCAGAAGCAAAATGAAAGGAGGTTGTTCAGGGGCCTTGGGTTTTTCCCCATCGGCGTCAAGAAAGGGGGGGTACTCATGCTCGCCTCACACTGCAAGCATGAGCCCCCATGACTCACGCTGAAAGTTGTGCATGTACCTTGCCGAAATCCGATTGGCAGTGAAACTCCTTCCGGGTGCTGCGCCTGCAAGACTCAAGACTCAAGACCTGCTGCTGGGGCAAAGTGTCGGTGGGATTCGCATGCGCCGGTTCAAGAAGCGTGCCTGATGGAGCCCACTCGGGCCACTAAATTCTTTACCGAGGCATGAGGATCGTGTAGAGCCGGAGTCGGAGATGCCGCGGAGTCGCAGCCAAGGCGTGCGGCATGACATATACCTTTCACTTAAACTTTGGAGCTGAGAAAACGAGAGTCGCAACACCTTCCTTGCTCTATGCGGGTTTGCGCAGATGTTTCCTCAGAGTTTCCAGCGATAGCCGGCTCAAGAGACAGGACTCGCCCGCTACCCCCACTGAAAAGGTGCTCCTTTTTCGTTCTCAAGATCGCCCTGATGCCGTATCTCTGCGAGCTCACCGCGGTCCCGGCCGGCTGGCCCCTGGACACCGTCCTCGACGCCTTCGTGCACTCGGCGTGGTACGGCCCGTGGTGGGACCCTGGCAATGCGCAGCGCGCCCTCGAGGCGCTGGCGGCGCGGCTGGTGGAGCTCTGGGCCGCGCGGCCGGCGGAGGCGGCGGCCTGGCGCGGTCTGAGCGAGGACCGCTCCCAGGAGCGGCTGGCCGAGCTGCTCTTCCAGCACGCGCGGAGCGAGCGGAGCCGGTGCGTCGTCGGCTCCTTCTCGGAGGCGGGGCTGGAGCGAGTGGCTTGGAGTTGGACGCCGCTGGCAGCGGCCGAGGCGGAGGCCGAGGAGACGGCGCGGAAGCGGCAGAAAGTGGAGGAGAGGGGCCAGGAGGAGCAGCTGCGGGAGGAGAAGAGGCAGCTGGGCGAGCGCCTGGAAGCCGCCGAGGCCGAGCTCCATTCCGCGAAGGAGGTCGTCGCCCAGGTCAAGTTGCAGAACGCGCAGCTGAGTGCCGGCTTGGATGCGGCGCAGGCCGCAAGCACAGAGACGCAGCGGGAGATCCAAGCCGCGAAGCACGAGTGCGGGCTGCTCGCGGACCGCCTGGCGGCTGTGGAAGCGACGGCAGCTCACCAGGCACGTGAGCTCCAGGCCGCTCAGGACGAGGGTGTCGCGCAGAAGGAGTGGTGCGAGCAGCTTGCACGTCGCTTGGAGGCCTCAGAAGCCGAGGCATCAAGACAGCAACGTGACCTTCAAAGGCTGCAGGACGAGTGTGCCCAGCACAAGGAAAACTGCGATCGGCTCGCAACCTGCTTGGCGGCTGTGGAGGCTGTCTCCGGAAACAAGCCAGATTTGCAGAGCCTGCTGGAGAGTAGTGCAGTCTACAAGGATCGCTGTGAGCAGCTCAACACGCAGCTGACCAAAGCAGAAGCCAAGTTGGAGACCAAGCTGGGCCAGATGCAGGCTCTCTGGCAAGAGAAGGGCGCGTGCCAGGAGCGGTGTCGTCAATTGGAGCGCCAGCTCACGCGCTTCGGCGGGCATGGAGCTCATGCCGCCCTCGCCTGCGGAGCCTCCAGCAGCCCTGAATCCGGCCTGACCGAGCAGATGGGATACACCATGGTGGATGTTGATGACGACGCCTCGTCGGTTCTGAGCTGCTCATCCTGGTTCTCCGTGAGGCCTCACTGCTTCATGTCAGACGCCATCTTCAAGACACGCAGCTGCGGAAACGACTTCTTCCTCCCAGGCGGCGATCTCAAGAAAGGGTCCCAAGTGGTTGCCGGAGACGACGCGACCATTTTGAAGGTGGTTGCCAACCCTGAACTCTGCCGAGCCTCCGAAGTCGTCGACTTGCAAGCAGGAGCTGCCACGCTGCGGGTGACCCCGGACCACCTCGTGCAGGTCCCAGTCCCGGATGCAACCGGCGAGTCAGGGAAGATCGCCGAGAACCGCGACTATGACTTCCTCGCGGCCGGTGACTTGAAAGTGGGGGACCACGTGATGCTCGATTCCGGGGAGCCGGTGGTTCTGGCCAGCGTGGACCGTCGGCCCGCAGACTGCGAGGTGCTGAAGATCGTCTTCGAGCCGGACCTGCCTGTGGCCGTCTTCTCCTCCCCTCCCTGCATCCTCAGCAAAGGCCACAAGCGGAAGCCCTCGACGCGCCGCGGAAAGGACAAGAACCGAGGCCGGAGCCAAGGAACAGCGGACCAGCCTGACGGGACCATGGATGGCGGAGCCTCGATCCCCATGACGGCTGGAGACTACATGGACTGAAGGTGAATTGGGTTCCCCAAGCCATATAGGTCACTAGACACAGAGCCAGCATTTTAGCGTCTGCGTGAGTTGGTAGTTCTTAGAGTCAACATTCATGCATCTCGGGTGACGCGTGGCCACATTCAGCTCAGAGCACGGCTGGAAGAGCCTGTGCCTCAGCTGCTTGCGGGCTTGTTGCCGGAGTCGCTCGAGGGCAGCGCACGCGGCCCCAGCTCGACATACCGAGCACACGGTCTGTGGGAAGGAGGGTGTAGATAAGGGCGTGTCTAGTATCCTTGTAGCATTGAATAGCATTGACCTCAGTGATCACGTTGTCGTCATGTCGAGAGGGGCGCGCGGTGTGTGCAGGAGAGCTGTTTTGATTTAGATCCTGTGCAGACGTGGCTCACAGTTTTGGACCTCGCGCAGAAGATCGCAGGTTGAGTGCTTCAGCGTGGCGAATTGCGACGACCTGGATTGGCGAGAGCTTGCACACGCCATCGAATGCAGAGCTTCTTTTCGCAGGTGCCAGTTTCATCTGACGCCTTTTACAAAACCATAGACATATAGCTTTAATTTGTAAAAATATATATATATATACATATGTATATATATATATATCTGTATCTATGCTCAACCCTATGGACCCGAAACCCTCAGCCCCAGGGCTCTCCAAGCCAGAGGTGCCGTGCCCGGGAGCCGGTGGCCACTTGTACGACGTCCGGGAACCTCTCGTGGAGGCACCCGCATCCTTAAGGACGAATTCTTAGGGTTTAGGGTTTGGGGTTTGGGTTTAGGGTTTAGGGTTTGGGGTTTAGGGTTTAGGGGTTTAGGGTTTAGGAAGCATACTGCATCGGGGGTGGGGTGCTTTTGGTTGTTTTGCACTTGGCGAACATGCAGATAGTTAGACCCCATAACTTTTCATTATTCCTAAAGCGTATGCAAAACAACAATGCCCCACATGGCCGAGAATCTTCGAGCCCACGAGCCCAAGAAACGTTGAACCCCGCCACCGCTACATCCCAAGCACTTGCACTTCAGCCCAACAATATTTTGAGCCTTCAAAAAAACCTCACTGTCAAGAGTAGCAATGGTGTTCGATCAGGCCAGTGCTGCTTAGGTGAGCCCTATGTCTGGAATCATAAGCCTCAACCCCCTTTTCGTGTTCTTGGTGTGTTCTGACCGACTCGAACCTGTATCTTTATTTTCTATAAAGGCTATTGGGCCCTCATTTCATGCACCCTTTCGCGACTTATCGGTGTAGAACTCTACGGACCATAACCCCTTTGCAGAATTTCCCGTGAGTCCCATCAGAAAAGTAGCCTCCCACCCCGCGCAGCTCGTGAGTTGTCTGAGAAATAGTGACCTGCGTTTTGGGCCCTTTTTGCGGGTGATTTTTGTTGTAGCACATTCAGAGAAAAGCAAAGAACAAAACGTCTAGGGTTACACAAAGGGCCCAGAATCCAGATGAAGCCACAGATGGATGGGTTAAGATGGTGGCTTCTCCTGACCGCTGCGGCGCGCTTTGGAGCTGCAGTTCGCCAGCAGAGCCTTGCAGGGGAACCAAATGCCTAGAGTTGGGGTTTCCGGTGGGTTTCCGGTTTAGGATTTAGGGTTTAGGGTTTAGGGTTTATATAGGGTTCAGGCTTTATAGGGTTTAGGGATACCCTATAATTTCCATGAAGGTATATGAATCATAAACCCCTTTTTATGGATCCTTTGGTCTCCAAGGAGTCTCCTCCATGGCGTGACCTCTCCTGGCTGCCAGCCATTGGATGGATGCGGCTGCTGGGAAGAGAAGGCGCAGAGGGTGCTTCACTCGATTACTCCCCTTCACTAAACAGAACCCCCCCCCCCCCCCCCACCCTCCCTTCTAATATTTTAGATACTCCCGTCATAGTTAAATGCTCCCATTCTAGTTATGTTGGAGTATATGGCGGCGGCGGGGAGGGGGGGTATTTAATATTCGGGGGTGGGGCCGGGGGGGGGGGGGTTTAATATGTTTAATACAAAGGGGAGGGATTACTTAGAATCACTGGCTCGGGATATGGATCATAAAACCTTCTTGGCCTCAATGAGTCCCGAAAGAAAAGATGTTGTTGCAGGGCATTTTGCTGCAGTCTGAGCAGGAATGCCTGGGCCCTGTCCAACCCTAAACCCTATAAACCCTATAAACCCTATAAACCCTATAAACCCTATACACCCTGTCTTTGTGACCTCCAGCAGGTCTGCAGCTCATGTTCCCTGTCAGCCTGCGGCATCGAGCACCTCCGGAGCGTGAGGCCCCTGTCTGGCGGGACCAACCGCCTGCGGCAGGATCTCGCAGCGGCGCACCTTGGGGACCACATGAACCCTGAAAGGGTTTAGGGCTCATATACCGAAAAAGGGGGGGGGTTATAGTAGTATGGGTGTCTATGTATGGTTCATATCCCTTAGTAGGAGTTGTAGTAGTGTAGGGTCTATTTAGGGTTCATATGCCTTAGTAGGAGTTATGGTAGTGTAGGGTCTATGACCCCCATTTTAGGGTTTGTTTGGTCCCCAAGGTATGGCCTGGAGGATTCTACTGGTAGGCGCTGGGCGCTGAAGCTCGCGGACCAGGAGCAGGGCTCCTACAATCGGGCCGTCCAGGCCTCCCAGCTTGCCCACGTCCTGGGCGTACCCACGCCGCGCGTGCCTTGGGGACCACATGAACCCTAAAATTGGGGTCCTATACCTTGTGCTACTATAATTCCTAGTAAGGTCATATGAACCATGAACCCTTTTGTGGGTTCAGAATTCGTCCCCAAGGTACTTCAGGTGTCGCCAGCTTCTTGCCCAGCTGTCTTTCAGCACGAGGACTTGAAGGAGGCCGCGGCAGAGTTCCACAGCCAGAAGAAGCAGTGGGCCTTGCTGCAGGAGACTCTCTTAGTAATGACTTCACAGATTCAAGATGAACCCTAAACCCCCCAAAACCCTCCAAAACCCCCTAAGCTCCCTAAACCCCCCAAACCCCCTAAACCCTCAAGCAGCCTCCCCAGAGCGCAACCCTGAGGAGTTCGTCAGCGAAAGAGATGACCTTCCCTGCACCACCAGCTCCCAGCCTTTCTGGGTGCAGAGCCTTGGGGACCGGTTTAGGGTTTAGGGTTTAGGGTTTAGGGTTAGGGTTTAGGGTTTAGGGGTTTAGGGGTTTAGGGGTTTAGGGGTTTAGGGGTTTAGGGGTTTAGGGGTTTAGGGGTTTAGGGTTTAGGGGTTGAGGGTTTCGGGCTTGGGGTTTTTTAGTTTAGGGGTCGTATATCCTATACTACTCTAATGCCTTTTAAGGTATATGAACCCTAGAAACCCTTTTTAGGGTTAACTTGGTCCCCCAAGGATAGGTGAAATCGCCATGTTTGACTGGCTCACGGGGCGGAATGACCTCTTCAATGACTTGTTGGTTGGGGGCGAGATGGCCTTGGAAGAGAACATGGCCATGAACAAGGAGGGGCGATGATGCCCGAAGAGTTTAGGGTTTTAGGGTTTAGGGTTTAGGGTATATCCCCGCTAAAACGCCCCGTAGAGGGTTGATTATGGGGATGATAAGACCTAATATCCTATCCTGGAACAAGGACAACATTGTGACTACTCCATCGCAGGCCGCACCTCAGAAGCCAAGGCCTTGCGCTTTTTGTCATATTAAGGCTGTCTCCCGGTATCCTCCCTACCTTACAACCCCCAACCCTCAACCCTCAACCCTCAACCGTAAACCCTCAACCTTAAACCCTAAACCCTAAACCCTAAACCCTAAACCCTAAACCCTAAACCCTAAACCCTAAACCCTAAACCCTACTCTTAGCTTCTTGAGGTAGAGATTGACCTGGGCTTCTCTGAGCCTTGTTGCTTGGACGACTTCGTTCAGATCCTGGAGGGTCTGGGACACAGGCGGCTGAGCTGGGTTTCGTCGCACATCCTGGTGCTCATGTGCGAGGGCCGACGCGGAGGACCCTTGCGGACCAAGGAAGGTACAAGTTCCCTCTTTTGTTGTTTTGAAGGGTATTTCGGGGTGACTCTTCATACGAATCATGCATCAATCTTTCAATCTTTTTCAACCCTAAACCCTAAACCGATTTGGGGTATTTCGAGGTGACTCTTCATATGGATCATGAATCAATCTTTTTAGGGGTCCTTTACCTTTGGTCTCCAAGGATTGGGTGCAGGCACATGTGCCACTGCCTTTGGCCAGTATGGGGCGCCAGGCATCTTGAAAGGGTGGCACTCACAAATCTCCAAGATCCAGGTGGGCATAGGGTTTAGGGTTTCGGGTTTAGGGGTTTAGGGTTTTTTCGGGTTTAGGGTTTAGGATTTAGGGGGTTTAGGGTTTTAGGGTTGGTAGTTAGGCCCTCAACCCTACTTGCAGGTTCATGGGTACTTATGCGTACTTTTGATAAGTGTGGAAACTTCAGTCCGTACTTAGGGTACTTACTTTAGCCCTAGTTAAAAGTAATCATGAACCTCCAAGTAGCTATTGAACTCCTAGACACCCAACAAAAACTCCTACATTGTTTCAGCTTCTACAGCGAACTCCTGCACACGTCATCCCAGATGATTCGAGGAAGCACCCTTCCACCCTTAAACCCTATATGCGGCTTAGGGTTTAGGGTTTAGGGTTTAGGGTTTAGGGTTTAAGGTTTAGGGTTTAGGGTTTAGGGTTTATAGCCCAAGAAGCTCTACGCCCCAAAAGCGGTGGCCTTGGCGCACCGCGGCAAAGTTTCCCCCACCCAGTCCGCCTGCGCAGATTGAGCGGGGGCTTGCCGAGCTGGCGCTGCGTGCGCTGGCCCTAGCAGGCCCTGGAAGGTTTAAGGGTTTAGGGTTTAGGGTTTAGGGTTTATAAGGGTTTATAAGGGTTTAGGGATTAGGGTTTAGGTTTACTGTGGCGGTCTGGCGCTTTCTTCTCTTGTGTCTAGGGTGTAGGCGTAGGAGTGGGATGTGTTGCTTGAGGGACTCTTGTGGGGTGTTCGCCATTGCTAAGCCCCAAACCCTAAACCCGAAACCCTAAACCCTAAACCCTAAACCCTTAAACCTCCGCCTGCGCCCTGTAGGCCGAGATGCTTGGTCCTACCCTACAAATGCGACCCTCGGGCTCCTCCAACAGAAGTGGCCTCCGATCACAGGGCGCGCGGTGGTGGAGAAACTGCGGGCGGAGGCAGTCTTGACCCTTTAGGGTTTAGGGTTTAGGGTTTAGGGTTTAGGGGCTTAGGGTTTGGGGTTTAGGGACGGTAGACCCTCATATTCCTGGAAAGCCCGTGCTACTGGTACTGGCGGTTCGCAAATACAGAGAGCGGAGAGATGTAGCTCGCATAGCTCAGGAGGCAGCGGCAATCGAGAAGTCCCTGTCTGTGGGCCAGAAATGCTGCAGCGTGGACTGTCAATACAGAGGCAGTTTCTGGATGTGGCACAGTTGCAGCCTGTCTGGATCAGAGTTGCTGAGCTCTATAAACCCTTCCCCTAAAGATGAACCATGATCCCAAAAGCCCTCGTTTATCCGAAGAAGCCCTAAACCCTAGTGAAGTTTCCCAGCACAGAGACCTCGATGGGCCACATCCGATGTGATTGCCCTATGCTTCTTTGTGACCTAAGTGTAGGCACAACAGCAAGGTGGACAGAAAGCCCTGAAGACGGTTCCGGCTGAACACGGCTGCAACATCAAGCTCAGTGAAGCTCAGCTGCAGGAATCGCTCCTTGCATGGTGCCCTCAACCCGAAACCCTTCAAACCTACACACCCTACAAACCCTATAAACCCTATAAACCTATAAACCCTATAAATCCTATAAATCCAGCGCGCCTGGTAGCAGTCGCCATGTGTCATCTTGGTCAACGGAGGACTTCTCACGCGCCTTGCATTGCACGCCAATCTGCAATGGCGCCAAGAAAGTCTGGGGCTCCGTCAGCGAGACCAGTGGCAGCTGCCCAGCCCTGTGAGCAGATGTCGAGTGCCCCAAAAAAAGCGGGCGGAACTGCGGGTGCACGAATTTAGGGTTTAGGGTTTAGGGTGTGGGGTTTAGGGTTTATAGGGTTTAGAAATAGGACTTAGGGTACATGCAGCTCAGCTTTTGGAGTGGCTGCACAAGCATTGGCACCTGGCGGGGTCAGGGTTTAGGGTTTAGGGCTTATAATAGGGTTTAGGGTGTAGGGCAGGGATTCGGACTCGTATAGGGCCTTTAATTAAGACATATGTGTGTGTGTGTGTGTATGTAGGGATATTTTGGTGTGGCCTTACACTATTTGACGGTCCGGCTAGGCAGACTAAACATACGCTTGGGGGGGATATGTTTGGATGGCAACAAATGTATGTGGGGGTTTCGGGGTTCAGGGTTTGGGGTTTCGGGTTTGGGGGTGCACGACACTTCTGGGACATTTTTGCGGCTCAGCTCCTGAGTAAGGGTCTCATGCAGGTCATGGTGGGGGAAGCCTGCGGGCCAGCTTCACCTAGGCCCCCCACTCGTACACGGCTTTTGCAGCCTGAGGAGCTGAGCTGAGTGTTTTTGTAGATGGTGGGATGGTGGTTCGGTCGTTCTAAATCGCCTGTTGGGGTCGCTTCAAGGCCATGCTCGCGCCTCCCAAGCCACAGGTTCCGAAACGCAGGGCTGCGGCCCTTGTGAAGAGGGGTGGTCCGGCTCCCAGGAATTTCGGGTGTTGTGTAAGGTTTGTATAGGGTTTAAGGTTTGAATTCGGGTTTAGGTTGTGCAGTGTTGCTGTTGGGGGGTAGTCGGGTTTGAGAGTGGTTCTGAGAGAGCGCGCGAGTGGTCAGGGATCCTCACAGGAGAGTTTTTGGGCTCATAGGCGCATTGCCCGGGGGAAGCCCTGAAACCCGAACACAAAAACCCTAACCCCTAAACCCTAAACCCCAAACAGCCCTGAAAAACTGAAACATGCAGCTCCATTTCCAGCCATATGCTGACCTGAATTCAGCTCATCATCAAATTGACCCTTGAAAATTCCACAAGGCCTTTTGGGGACCACAGAGCCCTCAAAAGGTTTGTGATTCACTCAAACAAAGAGGAAGTATCGTCGTAGCCTAGGGTATACGACCCCACTTTTAGGCTTCATTTCATCGCCAAAATGAGCTCTCTCTCAAGCCCTAAACCCTAAACCCTAAACCCTAAACCCTAAACCCTAAACTATCCTTAGCCCATGCAAGGCCCGACTCCTCCAGGTTTGAACCCCAAAAGGCCTGTCAACCCAGAAGCCTCCCACACTCTCTCAGCCCTACAAAGTCCAAGAAGCCCTACAAAAAGCCCGAAAACCCTGAAACGTGGAGACGCAGAGGAACCCCATTTTCTGCGGGGCCCTGGGCCTGTGATGGGCGGATTTGTCAGCTTTGAGAAGAGAGGGTGTTTACCTTGCAGGTAGTCTGAGTTGTGCTGAGAGCAGACGGAATGCAAAAGCCACTCAGGCTGCACCGCGACAGAAAGCTCATGTTAAGGAGCTTGTTCCGTTAGTTGGTTGGGAATGTGCTTTTGTTGGTTATTATGCTTAGACGCACAGGATTTGTGGTTGCAGGGCCTCGGTGTTTGGAGGAGCCATTTTCCGATCGTCGCGTGCATAGATCTAGGAAGTACTGGGTCGATATCTTCCGTTTACACAAGACCACTTGGCCGCGAGTATCTTTGCCACTCTGTTTGCATTTCTTGTTGGATTGAAGCCTTCTTTCATCAGACATGGAGGAAGCAATGAGAGGGTAGATTTAGGCGCCTGGTACATCTGCGTTTTTCTTGATTGTTGTTTTCGTGATGGCTGCTACGGCTAAACACTGCGAACTATGTCTTTAGCCTGCTTGGGCAACCACTTGCCGATGGACTGGATAGGTTCACAACCGCTTCAATTGTTTGACTGATATAGACTATGGCATGGAAGCATCGTCTGGAAAATCCTAAAGATCGTTTTGTGCTCTGAAGGGGTGGTAGCATCATTTGGGAGAGGGATCATTCAAGGAACACTCACCGCCCTGCGTTTGGCCTAGCGGCTCAAGAGAAGCTGAAATGCAGAACCGAAATTCTTGCATCGATGGCCTCACCCCGTTTGGTGAGACATCAGGGACGTGCTGGCTCCATCCGGTGCACGGGATTCCTGCAAAGTTTCCGCTGCAAGTGTCGCAGCATGAAGGCGGACAGTGTTGAAGGATTTGTCCTGCCATGGGGGTTTAGGGTTTGTAGGGTTTAGTTAGGGTTCGGTTTGGGGTTTATAGGGTCGCCAATACTTCCTAAACCCTGAACCCTAAACCCTAAACCCTAAGCCCTAAGCTCTAAACCCTAAACCCTATAAACCCTACGCCCGAAACCCTGATATGTCGCCAGGTCTCGACGGCCTCCGACACGTTTTGGACGAGGCTGCACGCAGCATGGGCCAGCTGCCTTGGGAGCCTTAGAGTAGCCTAGTGGTGCCCCTTTGCCCGTTTTTTTTGGGTTTAGGGTTTAGGGTTTAGGGTTTAGGGTTTAGGGTTTAGGGTTTAGGGTTTAGGGTTTAGGGTTTAGGGGTTCTGGCTACTCAGGAACACATGCAGCAAGACTCGATCTGCTTAACGGCGGTCGGGATCCAGTACCAGGACCTTCGAGACCAAATGATCGCTAAAATTGGGATCCTGCCCTAAACCCTAAACCCTAAACCCTATACCCTAAACCCTAAACCTTATAAACCCTAAATCCTAAACCCTACTATACTACTCTAAATTCGTTAGGGCACATGCTAATATGGAACACAGGCCTTTTAGGCTTCAGTTCGTCCCCAAGGGACGTGGCAGATAGTGGAGGTAAAATGTTTAGGGTTACAGTTGTACAGTGGTGTTCTATGCGTGCGTTCGCTTCTGGTACTGCATGCTATACTTGCCAAAAACCCTAAACCCTAAACCCTAGACCCTAGACCCTAGACCCTAAACCCTAAACCCTAAACCCTAAACCCTAAACCCTAAACCCTAAACCCTAAACCCTAAACCCTAAACCAGGACCGTCATCGCGGTCAATCGCTTTGCATACCTCTGGAATGGTCGGACCTCCTGTGCACGGATGCACCGCCCTGCACTTCTGGGGAGCAGAAGCCAACTCAGATCCTGCTTCTTTCTGTTGGACAGTAGGGGTATGGCGGAATCGGGGGACCTTATATCCCTTAAAGGGTATATAGAGATACCCTATAAAGGGTATATATAGATATCTACATATATATATATATAGATATAAGACCCTACTTCCCTCACTTCCTGCGAACCAACAGTAAGGCTTGTGGCTCCGGAAGTCGAGAAGACGGATGCTCATCGCCCTGTGTCTTGGCCCACAAAACCGCTCTGGTGATCTCGAGTCTGTAGTGAGGGTTTCTTATTGAAGCCAGCACCTCGGAAGTTTTGTTGGGTTGAATACTGTAAATGTAATGTAGTGATCCACTATGGCCGTGGATGTACTTGGAGGTTCAGGGTACTTCGTAACCCAACTATAACCCTTTCAGGGTACTTAAGGAGCCTATAAGTGGGTTATAGCTGCACTCATAATTGGGTTTTAAGTGCCCTGAACCTCCGCGTATGGAATTGTACGGAATATGACGACGTACCCCAGGTGTGGCTGCTCATGGGCCATTTCCACTCCGACAGCTTGCAGCACTTTCTGCAGTCTCTCAGCCGACGCGGAGCCATACGTTGGGACTTGCAAGAGACCTATGACACCGTGAGACCCTGTGGACAAGGTGCGGGATATGACGACCCCGAACCCGAAACCCGGCACACTTGCGGCAAACGACTGCATACCGTATCATACCGTAAGCACTAGGAGGTTCACGTTTACATATAAGTAGGTGAATAAGAATAACAGCAACTATACTGATAGCCATGTTAGGGTACTTGCAATACCCCTACGTACACTGTCATGAACCTCCAAGTACGGCTCACTCACGTTTTGCCGGCCAGTGAATGTCAGGCCTGCATGGGACAGTCTTTGTCGGTGAGTTCAAGGCGGGGTGAGCACACGGAGGTTGCAGCCTTCGGCCACACTAACCCCTGTAAACCCTACGTAACCCCTAAACCTGAAACCCTGTAAGGCCTAAACCCTAAACCCTAAACCCTAAACCCTAAACCCTAAACCCTAAACCCTAAACCCTACAAACCCAAAACCCTAATCTGACCGGGAAAAAACCGCCAGCCTCAAGGCTACACAAGCCCCAGGAGCCCAATCCGAGTTGATCCCAACATCACATATTTGCCGCTCCAGGGTTGAGGGGGCCTCACTGAGGACTTTAGGGTTTATGGGGTTGGATTGAAATCTTTTAAGGGTTCAGGTCCGGGGGAAGTTTCGGGACGTTTTGAGGAGTTTCGGGGAGTTCGTTTTTGACTTCAAATAATTTCAAGTTACGAGGGCTTGGGGGTTTAGGGTTTAGGGTTTAGGCTTTAGGGTTTCGGGTTTAGGGTTTCGGGTTTAGGGTTTAGGGTTTAGGGCCTTCCAACGCGGAAGGCTTCGCCTTCAAAGAGGACTTCCCGGAGTCGGGGCCGCAGGGTGGCGGTCAAGGCCCGTTTGGGGTTTAGGGTTTAGGGTTTAGGGTTTGGGGTTTAGGGTTGAGGGTTTGGCGTTTGGGGTTTGGGGTTTAGGGTTTAGGGTTTAGCCAGGGTTTAGGGGGGTTTGGGGTTTGGGGTTTAGGGTTTAGGGTTTGGGGTTTACGGTTTGGGGTTTGGGGTTTAGGGTTTTGGGGTTTTGGGGTTTTGGGTTTAGGGTTTAGGGTTTGGGGTTTGGGGTTTAGGGTTTAGGATTTGGGGTTAGGGTTTGGGGTTTGGGGTTCGGGGGTTTAGGGTTTGGGGTTCTGTGTAATTAATTAGGGTTTGGGATTTAGGGTTTGGGGTTTAGGGTTGGGGGTTTTGGGCTTTGGGGTTTGGGGTGTAGTTAGGGTTTAGGGGCCCCCGCGTTTTTGCTTTCGGTCGGGCTCAGGGCTTCGGAAGTTAGGGCCTTCGGTGTCTTAGGGTTTTTGGTCTCTTTTGGCAGGTCACCGACTCGGATGAGGATTACGTCAGAAGAGAAGTTCGCTTCATGTCTGAGACGGGCGAGCATCCCAACATCGTCTCCTTGCTTGGCGTGCTGCTGTGGCTGCAGTAGTCCAGGTCATATCACAGTTGATGTTCTACGCCAGCCGCTCCAGCTAACCAGCCGGTCAAGGGCCTCAAGGAGGGACCCGACAAAGAGAAGAAGATTAAGGGTCCCTTCTAGGGGTCCGTTATACCCCTAAAAGCCGGATGTCTTGACGTGTAGTGAAGGTTCGGTGTGGAGAAGGGGGACGCTTCGGGCCAGCGTACGCGCTACGCGTTGGCGCGGCGCCCAGTCGTCCCAAGTCCTCACGCTGCGTGAGTGAGCTTCCCTCCATAGCTGCAAGCTCCAACAAATAGGACAGGTGCTGAAGTACCGGTACAAGTAGAACCCTCAAGATAGTACAAGTATATGGCAGAAACCCTTAAAATAAAGTCCGTACTTGGAGCCGCAGTGTGGGAATCACAAAACGCTAAGCCCTAAACCCTAAACACAAGAAACCCCAAAAAGAACTAGTTCTCAGGTCATGGAGCTCGGTTCCCGTGGAGATCTTGGAGCCCGACTTGCACGTGGCGACACTCGTCCCGAAAAGAGGTTGAGGGGTTCAGGGCTTCAGTGGCTTTAGGAGTGTAAGGGGTTTAGGGGCTCTTGGGGCTTTTGGGGCTTTTGGGCTTTTGGGGGTTCTAGGCGGGGTTAAGGGGGGTGAGGGGTTTAGGGAATTACTGGTTTTAGGGATTTAGGGGTTTAGGGTTTATAGTTTTTCCTGTTGGCCTCACTCTCAGGTCGTGTTCTTCAGTTGTCCAGAGGGGTGGCGCTTTAAATTATTGGGACCTTTGGACCTCCTTTTGGTGCCATACCATATAGGGGGCCCGGAAAAGGTAACCTAGTTTAGCCTGACGGACCAAATCATCCCTAAAATTGGGATCCTATACCCTATATTATAATCCCTGCATTCGGGGTATGTGGACCATAGGCCCGTTTAGGGATCAGTTACCCCCCAAGGGACAAAATTGGGGACAAAGTTGGGCTATGATCCTTGTTGGGGTATATGGACCACCAGCCCTTCTGGGCTTCATTTAGGGTTTAGGGGTTGGGGATTCAGGGAATAGGGACAAGGGTTATAGAGCTCAGGGTTTAAGATCTTTCAACACTTTTGCAGTTCTTGAGTCCTTTTTATTTATTAAAATATCACCGAAGACTTGCCAGAAGGCTCTTCCACGACGCAGAGGGATCGAGACCATGATCGGCGTGACGTCGGCGCTGGCTTTCCTGCACAGCCGGCGAGTCGTCCACCGAGATGTGAAGCCAGAAGCTTGCCAGTTGGATTGCAGGGATTTCTGTGAGTTTTAGGGTTTGGGGCTTGTAAGGTTTAGGGTGTTTAGGGTTTAGGGCTTAGGGTCAGGGTTTAAGCATGGAACCGCCAAGGAAAATGTGATCTTACACGCTGACCATCGCCCTATGCTGGTTGATTTCAGCATCGCTGCATCCTTAGACGATCCGTCCGCCTTACGACGGAGTGGTGGCTCGCCAGGACTCGTCTTTGGGACCCTAAACCCTAAACCCTAAAACCCTAAACCCTAAACCCTAAACCCCCCTGTGGTTGTGCTTCCTGGTTGCCTCTGCCTCTCCTTGGCATAGCCTAGCATGTTCTCCCTAAGATGATGGGAACAGGATACGCAGCTCCTGAAATCATCGAGCAGCGACCTCACTGCGAGAAAGTGGATGTTTTTGGTGCGGGTGCTCTATGGCAACGCGGAGGCAATGAAGTCCTAGCCCCAAACCCCAAACCCTAAGCGCTAAACCCATAAACCCGAAGCCCTTTCTCGCGGAGTTTGTCCTCGATCTGCATGGTTTTTGGGTCTCCGCAGCCAAGGTACACATTGCTCTCGGGGCGACTTCCGTTTCCCGGAGGTAGCACGAAGGCCACAGAACAGTCCTTGAGTCAGGTTTTGGGTTTAGGGTTTAGGGTTCAGACATCAGGCGTACATTATTCCGCTGAGAAGGGAACTCCAAACCAGGATGATAGATCCCAAACCTGAAGTGGTGTGCTGTGCAGGAGATTCTTGCCAGCTCGCTCCGATGTGATGTCGCGCTGGCCATGAAATCTTGCCCGGAATGCTGCGAGCCGCGGGTGCAGTCGTGTTTGAGAGGACTCCCGTTGGGATGTACCCCCTGATACTTAACAGTCCTTAATAAGAATTCTAGGTACCCCCTGATACTAACAGTCCTTAATAGGGACCTTAAGACTCCAGCATCAGCTCAGGGTTTTCTCCTAAACCCCAAACCCTAAACCCTAAACCCTAAACCCGTCCGGTGTTCGGATCTTCCTGGGAGGAATGCTGGCAAGGCAGCCTTCGGAACGGCCGACGGCCCCGCACTCGGTTTAGGGTTTAGGGTTTAGGGTTTAGTTTTCAGGGTTTAGGGTTTAGGGTTTAGGGTTTAGGGTTTCGGGTTTAGGGTCGCGGCGAGCTCCGTGACGAAGTACGGGTCTGAGGCACTGCAGTGCTTCACGTCCATCTGGCAGCTTTCGGCGGACGCAAGGCGAAATCCAGCCGCCGAGCTGCAAGCAAGGGCCCGAAACCCCTCCCGACGCGTGGGGGTTTACGAAATAGGGGGACCCCCTAAAAATATAGACCCCCTAAATAGCAGGATCCCCTTAGAATAAGGCACCCACTAACTTCGGAAACCCCCTAAACCCTAAACCCTAAATCCTAAACCCTAAACCCTAAACCCTAAACCCTAAACCCTAAACCCTGAACCCTGAACTCTGAACCCTGAACCCTGAACCCTAAACCCTAATGGGATGTAGGGCCGGGCTCTGCTGAGACCTGCGTCGAGTCGATGACGTTCCTGGCCTCTTCGGGCCTGGCTCCCGAGCTCCGGGCTCCAGACCGGCCAGCGCCAGGCAGGGGCCGGGGACATGAAGCCCTTGAAACCCTAGGGTTTAGGGTTTAGGGTTTAGGGGTTTAGGGTTTAGGGTTTAGGGGTTTAGGGTTAGGGTTTATAGGGATTAGTGTTCACTTAGGGTGTAGGGTTTCGGGCCGCAGTCTCATCTAAACTCTATAAAACCCTTGGGGCTGTGCGCGAGCCCACCCCGATGTGAGGCGCGTCGAAAGAGCTGGCTGAGGACCTGAGCCCTTCAACCTATGCATCCCTTATGATCGAACCTGGGCGCTTATCCAGGGAGAGTCAAGGGGCTAAAGGAGGGGCCCTTACAAGGGGCCTTAGGGGTTATTAATGGACTTAGGTATGTAGGGACTACATAAGGTAGTAATGTAGGGGTTAGGATAGGGGAATCAGACTAAGGGCCCCTTCTAGGGGTCCCTCCTTAGACATACTCCTTAAGAGAGTCCCTATACTACTCCTGGAATTCTACCTTGGACCCCTAAGGTTCTACCCTTGGGTTTGGGGAGCCTTGTTCAAGGATCCTCTGAGGGAATCGAAGGGCCATGTTCGGAGTATATTGAGGGAGACCTTTCAGGGTACAACTTCAAAAAGGGTGCGAGTTTTAACCCCCTGAACTACGCAGTCAACCGCCGAAGGGAAACTCACACAAGCCCCCCCCACCCCCTCCGCCACCTTCCAAGGGAAGGTAGACGAGAAAGGCCTGCAAAACAAGCGTGCCCTAAACCCTAAACTCTCAACCCTAAACCCTAAACCCTAAACCCTAGACCCTAGACCCTAGACCCTAGACCCTAAACCCTACACCCTAAACCCTACATTTCGTCCTGCGCCCTTTGGCCGGTGTTGACCAGCTCAGGAATTCGTGTTCAAGACATTTAGCTTCCAGCGCCTGCACCTCTTCGGGACACACCAACTCCTGACGGTGAGAGCGCACTAGTCTAGGGTTTAGGGTTTAGGTTTAGGGTTTAGGGTTTAGGGTTTAGGGTTTAGGGTTTAGGGTTTAGGGTTTAGGGCTTAGGGTTTAGGGTTTAGGGTTCAGGGTTCAGGGTTCAGGGTTTAGGGTTTAGGGTAGCATGAATCATGGAGCCTCGTTTTAGTATAGACCTTGGGGACCACATGAACCCTAAAGTTGGGGTCCTACACCCTCTACTACGATAATTCGTATTAAGGTATATGAACCATAAACCCTTTTGGGGTTCATGTCGTCCCCAAGGGAGGTTGAGGTGGGGCCGCACCTCCCTCCCATCCTTCAGCTGTGTCGCAGCTCGGCCCCTTTTCCTGTGCCGGGCTGTGGCATATGTTGACAACACTCTGCCTAGCTGCGCTTTGAGGTCTAGACAACCCAGACAACCCCATGGGCCCTGAACGCTAAAGCTGTAGAGCCTGAGCCCCAAGCCCCTATCTACTGAACTCGAGAACCCCTCAACCCTTGCAAGCCCAAAACGAGCAGACCGATACCCTAAACCCTACACCCTACACCCTAAACCCTAAAACTCAAGACCAGGCAGGTAGAGATCAGTTCAAAGGACCCGGCGCAGCTGAGCCCCAAGTCTTTGATTCCCTCATTGTCGGTGTCGCGCTCCTGCGTTCTACCAGAGCAGCGTGACCCGAAGATTTAGTCCCAGATGGCCTGAACTCGGGGATCTTTCCTTGGGGGACCAAACGAACCCCAAATTTGGCGTCAAGCACCCTATATACTTCTATACTCCCGTGAGTTTTAGGGATAGAGGAACCATGAACCTTCGTCGGGTTCATTTGGTCTCCAAGGTTCGTAGCTTTGGGCGGCAGCGGTTCCCAGGGGCTGGTTCCCAAAGCCTCCGACGCAAGGCACATTGCCTGCACAGCTCCCGCGCACAAGGCGCGAGAGACCCGGAGCCTGGGCTTCGATTCGCCTTCGATTCGATCCCCTCCCGGAATGGTTTTGAGATCGAGACGGCCAGGAGCCAGACACGCCACGCCACGCACCCGCCTCCCGTGCTTCATGGGGGGTTCATGCAAAAAAAATCTCCGCCGGGCTTGAGGGTTTTTGTCTGGCAGTCTTTGCTGATTGTAAGGCCCTAAACCCTAAACCCTAAACCCTAAACCCTAAACCCTAAACCCTAAACCCCTGCCCATGAGCCCTCAACTTCTGATCCCTGCAGCACATATATGGCTCATTCAGAGTAGGATCTTGGCCCATCGACCGTGGGCGCAAGGTGGAAAGATGGACGTTGCCCTTCTGGCCGGGCCGCCCGGGCGCCGTGGGGTCGACCTTGAACCCTGAACCCTAAACCCTAAACCCTAAACCCTAAACCCTAAACCCTAAACCCTAAACCCTAAACCCTAAACCCTAAACCCTAAACCCTAAACCCTAAACCCCTGCCCATGAGCCCTCGACTTCTGATCCTCTGGCTTCCTAAAGTCAGACCACTTGCCGGCCCCCACACAGGTTTCAGGGTTCAGGGTTTAGGGTTTAGGGTTCAGGGTTCAGGGCTTAGGGTTCTGGATGTCGTGTCGAGGCTTCCGATGTCGACCAGCTGTCGCAGCTGCTTGGGGAGCCCCTTGGATTGATTCAGCGCAGCCCTGCGCTTTGGAGCTTCGTTGGGTTTGGGGGAGGGGAGGGAGGGCGGGGAGGGCTTCGAAGCTTTCCGAGGGGCGAGTTGCCCTTCAGGATTTAGGGTTTGGGGTTGAGGGTTTATGGGTTAAGGCCCTACATGTTGCGTCTTGATTCGGATTCGAGGGGGGCAGCGGCATGCTCGGCTTCCCTGGGCATCTTGAAAGATGCTCTTGGGGGCACGCTTCCTTGTCTGATAGAGTTTCATTGCAATCCACCTCGGGCCATGCAACCCTGAACCCTGATCTGACATTACTCCATGAGCCATGAGCCCTAATGTGGTCTCCTGATTAGTGTGGGGCCCCCCCCCCCCCCCCACAAACTAAATCCACCCCCGCAATAGTGTCAAAAAAAGGGACCCCCCCAAACTAATTTTCGGCCCCGGGCCCCCCCCCACCGGCTCCTCTTCATTTCCTCTTCGCTCCTCTTCCCTCTCCTCTTCCTCTCCTCTTCCTCTCCCTCTCCTCTGAGGTAATTAAGCTCAGGTAAGCTCAGATGAGCTCAGCTCAGGTAAGCCGAGTTGAAGCTGCTCTTCTTTTGCTCTTTTATTTCATCATCTTGTTCTCTTTTTTTCTCTCTTCCGAAACCCATGTCCGAAAAACTTTTCATTATTGTAGGGGGGCAACCGAATTTTTGTCTCCTGAATGATTTTTTGAAAACTTTTCATTATTGAAGGGGTCCACACTAATCAGGATACGACATTAAGCCCTAAGCCCGGTAAACCTAAACGACCCTGAACCCTAAACCCTAAATCCTTATCAGCCCTCCCTAAACCCTGAACCCTAAGCCTAAACCCTGAACCCCAAGCCTAAAACCCTAAACCCGAAACCCTAAACCCTGAACCCTGAACCCTGAACCCTAAACCCGAAACCCTAAACCCTGAACCCTGAACCCTACAATTCCTGACGCTCCCCTGTTTCCCAGGTGCCATCTGCATGAGGAGCGGGAAGCGCTGGCGCTGGGCGCTCATCGTTTGCGAGCTCCATGGGGTTTAGGGTTTTGGGCTTAGGGTTTCGGGTGGATAATTTCGGGCTTTGGGGTTTAGGGTTTAGGGTTTAGGGTTTAGGGTTAGGGTTTAGGGTTTAGGGTTGGGGGTTTTATGGGGCTCAGGGGTGATAGGGCTTGAAGTTTCATGGGGGTGTCAGAAGGGTTTCACTGTGGGGGCTCCGGAGTTTGCCCTTCTTGGCTTAAGGGTTTGGGGGTTTGTCGCGTTTAAGGGTTCGGTGGTTTCGGGCTTCATAGGGTTAAGGGATCTGCAATTGGAGGTTTAGGGTTTTAGAAGTCTTTGGTGTATTTAGACGAGGATCCTCAGGGTTTGGGCTTTTAGGGTTTCAGGGTGGGGGGGGGGTTCTGAGAGCTGAGGGTTGTTGTAACATGCAAACGTAAACGGCCACTGAATATTCTCAGGGACCCGAAAACCCCCCAAAACCGCAAAACCCTAAAACACCAAAACCCCTAAAACCCTTGCACCACCTAAAACCCCCAAAAGCCCAAAACCCCTAAATCCCTAGAACCCTAAAACTCCAACCCCCCCTCCCTACCCCCCCCTCTTTAAGAACAAACGAAGAAACCCCAGAACCCTAAAACTCTACCCCCCCCTACCCACCCTCTTAAAAAAACACATAAATAAGTAGTACTAGTAAGATTAAAATAAACGGAAAAACACTAATCATAATAGCAATAAACGAAGAAGTGCTCCCAGGCAAGTGATGATGCCCATTGCCACTTATGCCGGGCAGCTGGCGTCAGGCCAAGACCCGCAGCAAAAAGCCGGAAAAACCCTAAACCCTAAACCCTATGAACCCTGTAAACCCTTTAAACCCTATAAACCCTATAAACCCTATAAACACTATAAACCCCATAAACCCTATAAACCCTAGAAACCCTAGAAACCCTATAAACCCCATAAATCCTATAACCCCCATAAACCCTATAAACCCCATGAACCCTAAACCCTGTAAACCCTAAACCCTGTAAAACCCTAAACCCTAAACCCTAAACCCTAGCCTTAAACCCTAAATTCTAAACCCTAAACTCTAAACCCTAAACCCTAAACCCTAGCCCTAAACCCTAAACCCCAGAGGCATCCAGGCGCCCCTTCCGGGCGGCTCCGTGTCTGCAGCCGCGGCTTCGGGGCGCGCTGTGGGTGGAGGGGTTTAGGGTTTAGGGTTTAGGGCTTATACGGTTTGCACGGTTTATACGGATTATTTTGTTTATACGGTTTATGCGGTTTATGCGGTTTAGGGTTTACGGTTGACGGTTTAGGGCTTATGGGTGAGTAGAATGTTGTTTTGGGCAAAGTGTTGTTGTAACATACTTTTGTTCCGTTTAGCAAGTTGCTTTTGTTGAAGTTGTTTGGTCCCGAGCTGTTTTGTTGGTGTTTTCCTTTAGGTGGGTTAGGGTCTTGTGTGCAGGGCTTGGGGTTTCGAGAATTTGGGGACCTTCAGATCCCCAAAAGCCATCGCCAGGCCCTGGGCGGAGGAGCTGATGAGACGGCTCCAAGGCTGGCCTTTCTTTGGGCTTAGGGCTTAGGGTTTAGGGTTTAGGGCTTGGGGTTCAGGGTTTAGGGTTCAGGGTTTAGGGTTCAGGCTTTAGGCTTTAGGCTTCAGGGTCATGAGCCCGAAACGGGCTCACGGTCCACGTACCTTAAGATGCCCTAGGCCCTCAACTAGAGAGTAGGATAGCATAGCGATTTCAGGATTCATAAGGTCTCCAAGGGCTTGTAGGGTTCCGTGTCAAAGGTTGAGGGTACTTCTAGCGCAGCAGCTTGCATGTACAAGTTATGCGGAACATTTCATGCACCTCCAGACTTGCTTGTGGAACAGTATCCAGTGGTTACCCAAAGGTCCTCAAACTTTCCGCAAGCAACCCCACATTTTGGCTCTGGTGGGCCGCGTCGTCTGGGGGGTTCAGGCGGCTCGCCGAGAACCCCCAAGCCCTCTACACCCGAGTCCCGAATCCTCAACCTGAACCCAGACCCTGAACCGCAAGCCCTAAACCCCAATCCCTCAACCGCAGACCCTGCACCAAACCCTTCACCTCATCTGCCTCCGCCAGGCTGTTCCTCTCCCGAAGAGGGCCGGGCGACCTGTGCCGAGATGTCGCGGTACCCAGAACTGCGTCGGGTTGAGGGCCTGAGGGTCTGAGCATGACAGCGCTAGGGTCGCTGCTGGGGTGCGGGTAGGAGTTCTAAGAGCTCTGTTTACTGTTGCTGCTGACCGGATTGGGCTCAGAGGATGTTGGGTGCATAACGGGGCTTGGACCCGAAAGCATCTAAACTTCTAAACACCCCAAGACACCCTAAAGCATCTAAACTTCTACACGCCCTAAACCTGCAACTTAGAGCCCTTATTAGCAGCCCGAGACCTCTCCCTTCGAGGATTGCGGCGTTCCACCAGGATCAGCAGAGCAGCCAGCCCTGCCCTCGACCCGACGGCGTGGCCTTCAAAAAACCCTCTGAGTGGTTGCGTAAGGGTTTGATACTCTTTAGGGACTTTAAGGACTTCAGGGACTTCAGGGTCTTAATTGCTTTAGAGTATGTTTGAGGGGTGTTGGCTTCAGGGTATGTTTCGGAAGTTCCAAAAGGACGCGTTTTGGGAGTGCAAAGAGCGGATATTGGCGGCCCCTCCCTGGTTTTGTTTGTATAAGGCTTATGTGGAATATGAGGACTATTCGAGGCCTTTGCAACCGGGGCGTTGGCACAACAACGGCCCAAGAAAGGCGTATCTAGGGTGGTTGTTATGAATTTGAGACTGCATTCATGATGCAGATAATGTATAATATATAAGTACCTTTGCTGATCTCACCTCAGCAAGGACCCAGAAAAGACTCCCCCTGCAACCTAAACCCTAAACCCTACTAAACCTCGAACCCTGAATCCTGAACCCTGAATCCTGAACCCTCAACCGACCCTCCTGCACCAAGCTTCGAAAAGATCACGCCCTAAGCTGCCGAACCCGAGGTCCCCAACACCCCAACCCTACATCCCAAATCTCAACCCTACAACCCCCAAACTCCCCCTCCCAAACCCCCACCCCCCTTCCATACCAAAAAAAGAGCCTAAAATTTGGTGTCATCTTTGAGGTTTATAAGCCCTTCTTGGGATTCTTTTCGTAGGCAAAGCTGTCCCTCCAGAGGCCGCTGCTGCCGGCCCGGGTGCCCGCGCACTACGCCGCGGCGCCCATGGCCGCGCCGGCGCCGGCGCCGGCAGGTGCCCGGGGCGTATGGTTTTAGGCCATTTTTTCGGAGTTTTGAAGAATGTGTAGCGTAGAGCATAAAACGCTTCAACACAAGCTGCCTTTAACGGTGCCGACTTCGTTCCGGTCCTTTGTTTGCGTGGAGAGTCTTCGCATTGTGTGGGCTATGGTTGGGAGTGAGACTTTTCAGCCTGCTGGTTCACACCAGCAGTTGGGGTTTAGGGTTTGGGGATTGAGAGTTTAGGGTTTAGAGGCTTTGGGGGGTCTGAGGGTCTTAGGTTAGGGCAGTTTAGAGTTTCAAAAGTGGGCCTTTAGGGCTCTGGGTGTTTGGCATGTCCTGGGCTTTTACAAGGTTTTGGGGGTCTATGATTAGGGTTTAGGTGGTTTTCTGGCAGTTGCGGCTGTGGTTGCCGAGCTTGGGGGTGACAAGGGAATCAGATTCTATATAAGGCTTCGTAGGATCCAAGGCTGAGCGGGCTTTGCGGAATTGAGGTTGCGGCTTCCGAGGGTTTAGGGTTTAGGGTTTTGGGTTTAGGGTTTAGGATTTCAAGTTTAGGGTTCAGGGTCGAGGGCACACATTGCATCCTAGGCCCTTCATCGCCATGAGTGTGCGGACAGCCCTCTACAGATGGAACTCCCTAAACTGTCCTGCGACTGTAAAACTCTAAACACCTAGACCCCTACACGAAACTCTATTTAAAAAAACACCTTAAAAACCACAACAAGCAATTTTAAACTACTGTAAACCACCATAAAACCCCCAAAAGCCCTGTAACCCCGAAACCCCGAAACCCGACACGCTGCTTACGCACCAAAAGGGCTTTGGTGCCAGGCTATGGCCCCAACGCAGAGCTCTCGGCGCGCTCCTGAGTGAGAGAGAGAGAGGGAGAGAAAGAAAGAAAGGGAGCGGCTGCGTCGACTTCACAGCAGTTAGGTTTTAGGTTTTAGGGTTTGGGGCATAAGTTAAGGGTTTAAGTACTAGAATCCCCTTTAAGGGCTGTTAGTACTGGGGGTTACTAGAATCCCTTTAAGGGCTGCTGGTATAAAGGGGGAACAACCCTCCACCAACTGGATCCCTGGCTCTCCTCAGGCTCGCCTCCAGTCTCTACAAGGCTGGAATCCGCAAAAGTCGCCAGAATACTCACAGGAATGGTTCACTTGTTCAGCAAATCCCTCAACCCTAAACCTTATAAACCCTAAACCCTAAATTCTAAACCCTAAACCCTAAACCCTAAACCCTAAACTGCCCGGGCTTCGTGTTCATCGGTTGGGTTCGCCAGGCGCAAACCGCGTCATCGTTCGAGCACTCCGGATTATGTCTGATCGAGTGCGGGAACAGGGCCTGCGACTGAGCCATGCCTTGGGGACCCTAAACCCTAAACCCTAAACCCTAAACCCTAAACCCAAAAAGGGTTTATGTCCTATTTTGGGGGAGTAGGCACATGTCAAACCGGGCTCTGCCTCTGAGAGACACATGTCCAATCCTTGTAGCGGGATTCCTGATGAACAGAGCATATCAGAAGGTATCTCAACCATGTCTGGTTCTTAGTAGCTGAGTCGGTAATCTGAACCTTTTGGGTGTACACAAAATGCTACCATAGTTAAAAAGTTCATTTTTTGGCCCAGGGTACTCAGCGGCTAGGGATTCGTGTCTCTGCTGTCATAGCCCAAAGCTTTCTACGGCTCAGGGTGCCATGATTGAACCATGAGTATCTGCCAATTCCTCGGGATAATGTAGAAATAGGGTTTATAGGGTTTATAGGGTTTCTGCGGTTTACAGGGTTAATGTAGGGTTTGCTCTAGGACGTGCGCCTGTCTTGCCCTCCGAGGCAACCGCCGCAGAGAGGCCGAAGAGACAGTAGCGGGAGGCTCAGGCGGTCGGACTGGTGACTCGGGATTGGGGAGTGAAGCCGACATCTGAAGCCACCTTTCAAACCCGATAACCTCGAGTGATGCATGTTTGCTCTAGATTAAAGCCACGAGGTATCCCCTGTTCAGGTATTTCCAAGGTTACTCCCACAAACCTAGACCCAAAGCCCTGTTAGGGCCTGTAGGCTTGTGGGAGTGTAAGGGTGCAAGGGCTTAAGGGCTTAGGGGAGTTGTGGGTTGGGGGCTTCGGGTTCGTACCCCAAACACAGCTCCGGTTCTCTCTACAATCCCTTAAAAAGGGTTCCCCTATAGTGTTCTATATAGAGGTCAGGGTTTTAAAAGGGTTCTTATAGTGTTCTATATAGGTTAGGGTTTAGGGCCTTCGGGTTCTACTTCACTGTTGGGAAGTATCGGATGTCACCCTGACATCTGCCAAGTGCACGCATACACGAGATTCAAGTTTCATAACCCCCCAAAGCCTTTATCAACATATTCAATCCCTAAGCCCTCAAATTCAAAACTTATGAGCTCCAAGTCCTCAGCCCTACAAACCTTGTAAACCCCAAGCCCTATAAGCCCCGAGATTGAACCTCACCCTAAGGCGCAGCTGAAAGCGGAGCTGGAGGTCACCAGTTTTTCGCCACCTCTTGGGCTAAACCCTAAACCCTAAACCCTAAACCCTAAACCCTAAACCCTAAACCCTAAACCCTAAACCCTAAACCCTAAACCCTAAACCCTAAACCCCATGCACTTGATGGGTCGGTACTCTAAACCCTGAAATCCCTGAACCCTCGTCAGGGCGTCGGCTCATAAGCCCTACACCTACGCGTCACGCCCCTGAAGACTCAGAAGCTCAGAAGCTCTGAACTCTCAAGCCCTACCTTTTTTTGAGTGGCTCACAAAGCAGAGCCACTCGCCTTTGGAATGGAAGCCTAACAGCCTATACACCCTAACCCCCCTAACACCCTGAACCCTAAACACCCTATACACCCTATACACCCTTTTCATCCTATACACCCTTTTCATCCTATGCACCCTTTTCATCCTGTACACCCTACACCCGAACCCCCACAAACTCGAACTCCTCATTGCAACTTCTGACAGGCTCGGGAGGAGCAGCTCCGCGCGTCGGAGAGGGCGAAGGTCGGCCCCAGATTCTGCCGGACCGCTCCCGCGATTTCTACGGGTAGAGGGTTTGGGGTTTAGGGTCTTAGGGTCTTAGGGTTTAGGGGTTGGGGTTTAGGGTTTAGGGGTTGGGGTTTTTAGGGTTTTGGATTTTGGGGTTTAGGGTTTAGGGTTTAGGGTTGCGGGGGTTGAGGGGAGATCCCGCCTTTTCAGGTGCTCCTCCAGTCTCGCGTGGCGGTGCTCCTCCAGGGTCAGGATGCCCCAGGTATGCCGGAGGTGCCTTTGCGACCCCAGGGGCAGCTTGGGGGCTTTTCGGCTTGGGTTTAGGGTTTAGGGTTTAGGGTTTAGGGTTTAGGGTTTAGGGTTTAGGGTTTAGGGTTTAGGGTTTAGGGTTTAGGGTTTAGGGTTTAGGGTTTAGGGTTTAGGGTTTAGGGTTTAGGGTTTAGGGTTCAGGGTTCAGGGTTCAGGGTTCAGGGTGTAGGTGTATGGGGGCCTTTAGAGCTCAAAACTGATAGGGTGGAGGGAACCAGTGTGTCTGAAAACTTCGTGGACTCGTGGGGGTGGCGAGTGCGACTTCCGGTGGGGGAGGCCAGGTGGTGGTTCCGAAATTAGGGGTCACTTATTGGGGTCCTTACCAGAAGGGTATCCGACTACTTGGGGTCTATTTTAGGGGTCCCCTATTTTTCGGAAACCCCCAGGTGTGGGATGAGCAAGGCAACTGGATCTTGAACCCCACTTTGCCTTTCGGCTCCTAGTAGGGGAACGCGGGCCTAAGGTACCCTACATAGTCCCTTAAAGGGTGGGGGAGTACGGTACCGTATGCCCGATACGTCCCTACTAAGAAGTAGTATCCCTAAACGCTCTTCTGCAAAAACCCTCCAGCCAGGCCTCCTTCAGCAGGCCTTGTATATAGTCGACGTAAGGCCATGAGCCCAGGCAAACATGCCGGGCAGCGATGCACTGCGCCTCAATCGCCTACTTGAACCATGCCCCCCCCCCCCCCCCTTTCAGGGGTTCTAGGGTTTCGGGTTTAGGGGTTCTAAGGTTCATCGGATTTCTGAGGAGAGTTTATTTCGGGTTTGGTTTGGGGCTTAGGGTCCCGTCGAGATTGAGGCGACAGCTAGCAAGGCCCAGTGAGCTTCTCAAATGGCGGCGCCGAAATTCCCATGGCTTTATTGTCATCCGGAGCTTCGGTTGGGGGTTGAGGGTTTACTTACTTCATGGCATGGGGCATTCGGGAGCTACTGCTGAGAAGCCGCTGCATGCACGTCCGGTTTTTTACCCTCACCCCCTTTTGACCCTCACCCGACTCGACACACAAGCCCTGGCCCACGAGGGGAGACCCTGAAACCTACTGACCAAAGCCTTAAAACTAAACCCTAAACCCTAAACCCCATACCCTAAACCCTAAACCCTAAACCCCACAGATCCCCGCAGCTCTTGTGGTGGGCCGCCGTTTAAAACGGCCCGGCCGCGCGCGTCCCGGACTCGCGCAAGTCCCTCCGGCAAGGCTGGGCCAAGCACAGAGGAGGTCCATGTCTAAGAGTAGGGAGTAGGGTTTAGGGTTTAGGGTTTAGGGTTTAGGGTTTAGGGTTTAGCTTAGAGGGAATAGAGAAGTAGAGGGTATATGAACCCGATTTTAGGGTTCATTTGGTCCCTATAGGCCCTGGTGTTGAATGGTTTGAGACACTGGGGGCTGTAGAGATTTAGGGGTTAAGGTACAACAAGAATCCCGGTAGACTGCTCCTTGTTCCTATTTGGAGTTAGGCCCTTTGCGCACCCTAAACACCTACAGGGATCAAAATAGGGGTTCTGCTTACATGCAGGCAACCCGAGGCGGAAAAGCCTACAAACCCTAAAAACCCAAGACCCGAAACCCAAGCATTTGATCCTGGAGCTCCATCGCTGGTTCAATCTTTGCTGGGCGCTTCGCCATCTCTGGTACCCACAAGCGCTACCGCAGCCCATGAGAAGAGCAAGCTCCCCAATCTTCCCACCTTTGCTGTGTGCATCGGGCACTTCCAATCTGAGAGTAGGGTTTCACGGGTTTATGGGGTCTTTCCCTGCACCCTAAACCATAAACCCTAAACCCGAAAAGGTTTTAGGCCCCTGGTCTAGATCTGAAGTTCCTGACGCGTCTCGCAAAAGAGAGTGTACAGTCAGTGAAAGTGTGGCCCCAGTGTGTCGACTCTTTGTGGCATAGCTTCCGCGGGGTCCAGCATAGGACTCTGCGTCCGACTACGCCACACCCTGAACTCAGACCACACACCTTTGCCTTGCCCCAGACTCACAAATCCCAAAAGCAAGCGTCAGGACCCAAGAGGGTCCCTTCAGTTAGCTGGTCCCTGCATTTGCTGCTCACACCGAGACGCCTTCAAGGCATGGTACATGACCCATCAACCCCTAGGACCGAGAGTAGGCCTTCATTTCCCTGTTTTCAAGGTCTTAGCTTCCCTTCTAAGCAACTGTAAGCCAAAAAGGGCACCCTATTTATTTTATTCCTAGGTTATTCTTGGGTCTAGACCCCCTAAACCCTAAACCCTAGACCCTAAAGCCCGAGTAAGCTCTAGACCCGAAACCTTGCTTAGCCTTGCTTCATGCCGAGAAACCCTCAACCCCAAACCCTACAGGTCACAAACCCTCGATTTAGGGTTTAGGGTTTAGGGTTTAGGGTTTAGTGTTTAGGGGAATCCTATACAAGAACCCGAAGCCCCGTTACATAGCCGACACGAACCCTCGAAGCCTTTGACCCAAAACCCGTTTAGGCTCTGGGAAACTGAACGTGCTTTCGAGTGGCGGGAGGGGTGGGGTTCGGGTTTTGGGATTTAGGGTTCATAGGGTTTAGTGTTGTTGTGGGGTAGTTCAGGGTTAAGGGTTCAGGGCTTAGGGCTTCTAGACTCCTAGGGTTATAGGGTCATAGAGTTTGGTGCTGGGGCTTTTATTCGGTTTTTGTCAGGGAAGTCATAGGAAGCAGGGTTCAGGAATTGGGATTTAGGAATCAGGTTCTCCAGCGCAAAAGTCCATGGATAGCGACAGCCTAGAATGGACTTTGAATCGTCTTGTGTGGGTAGGCCTGTCCGACAGTGGCATTCGCATCTGCAATGAGAGAGAGTGCGCGTCTCTGCACAGCATGAGCCCTCTCAATGCACCGAGCAAGTAGGATCGCGGCACGTGCGCGTGGAGACAAGGTGGCGGGTGCTTGCGTCCTAGACCTTCTAAACCCTGAACCCGGAAATCGACTACGGACTGCGGTGCAGCCATAGGCTGAGGTAAAAGCGAGCTGCAATCTCTATGCACCTCCACCATCCGGCCCCACCCTTCTCCCCCAAAGAGCCCGACGAAGAAAGCGACGGCGTTCTAGGTAGTTCAGGGCTTAGGGTTTTATAGGGTCCAGGTACCTTAAGAACCCCAAACCTTCTCGTCTGCACTCGTTTATGGTTATATAAGATGTGAAGTTTTTGGGTTCTTGGCAGAACTTCCCTTCTGTCCAGACATCTTGACTGTCGATGCGTGGTGGTGAGAGTCCACCACAAGAGCCCACCCAGTCAGTCGGTCTAGGGAGTCTCAGGGGGAGTTTGGGGCTTAGGTCTAGGGGTAGTTACATGGGCTCTCAATATGGTCCCTTACCTCCTTCAAAGGGTTCTGAAGTATGGGCCCTTGGGTTGTATAGGGACCATGTAACTACCCCAAGATCAGGGTTTGCTTGAGCAGCTCAACCTACATCTCGAAGCAAGCCCCAAGTTCCAGGCGTCACTGCGAAGAAGACGCCTTGACCCTAAAGCCCAAACCCTAGCTAGCCCTAAACCCTAAACCCTACACCCTAAACCCTATACGCCTGCGTTCAGCTCCAGTGCTCCCGAAGTATGGGCCTTGGGGGTATATAAGTGTTCCGCATTTTAGGGGCCCTTAGCTAGCCTAAGAAAACCCCACAGGCATCAACTTCATACACCAGCCCGGAAAGCCAATGGAAAGACCCCGTAACCCCGCAACAAAGATTGTTAGGTCCCTAAACCCTAAACCCCAAGCCCTAAACCTCATAGCCATGAACCCTTAAGCCCGAAACCTCCAAGCCCTTCTACCCGCAGCTGCCAAGAGAAGTGCAAAAGCCCCTCCTTTCACCCAAGCCTCGCGAAACACGCGAGCGACGCCATGTCGAGACCTCGGCTCTCATCATGCGGTTAAAGAGCTTATGCTTAGTCGCTTAGTGTACACCCTACACCCCCCTCGCCCCCGCTCCCCCAAGACAAAAAGCAAACCCCAAACTAAGCCTATAGACCCTAAACCCCAAACCCCAAATCCCAAACCCCAAACCCCAAACCCTAAACCCTAAACCCTAAACCCCAACCCTAAACCCTAAATCCTAAACCCTAAACCCTAAACCCTAAACCCTAAACCCTAAACCCCAAACCCCAAACCCCAAACCCTACACGGGGCCGGTTGCCCTGAGGCCAAGTCGCCGGCCTTTTGCGGCCTCGGCCGCAGCTGCTGCCCTTCTGCGCCTTAGCTCCGTTTGGTTAAACGGTTCAGGGCTTAGGGGTTTGCAGGGCGTCTAGGTGAAGGGTTTAGAGCTTTTTGTCGGGATTGCAGAGGCTCCAACATGGTGAGGGCCGGGGGGGGGGGGGGGGGTGAAGGGTTGAGGGTTTCGGGCTTGGAAGGGTTTCGGGTGCAGAGTCCTAAGCCCCAAAACCCTGTAGAATCCCTAAACCCTAAGAGGCTTTCCGCCTTGTCGGTGTGTTCGGGGTTTCGGGTTGAAGGCTGGGACGTCCTGGCTTTTTTGCCCGGCAAGGCCACATCTTGCAGGAACCCGACATAGTGCCTGCGGGCCACAGGGTTCCGTCCCCACTCCTTAGGGTTTAGGGTTTATAGGGTTTGTAGGGTTTACAGGGTCAAAAGGATTACAGGGTTTATAGGGTTTAGGGTTTAGGGGGGCAAACGAGAGCAATTGTTGCCCCTGGAATCCTTGAAGTTCGCACCAAGATCTATGGGGTCTAGGGTTCAGGGTTTAGGGATTCAAGGCCATGACAAGCCCCAACAGTCCCGGAAAGCCCCCAAAACCCCACCAGCCCTAAGCCAACATCCTTATATAGGTTCTTGTAGCTTATATAGGTTCTTGTAGCAAGCGTCGGGAGTGTCCCGCCAGGTGCTTGGTACGGAGAGCTGGCCAAGGCAACCTAACTTTCTTAGACGCTCAGACCTAAGCCCTTTTTTTGTCCCTCATAGCCTTAAGGACCCCCGAAGCCCTTGAAGCCTTAAAGCATCAGAAGACTTAAGACCTTTAAACCCTGTTTGTCCGTCAAAGCCTTAACGACGCTGAAGCCCTTGAAGCCTTAAAGCCTTTTCAGACTTAGGACCTGTAAGCTCTTGAACTCGAGATCCTGGGGAGCTTCTTGCGGGGCCTTCCTTGATAATGCCGAAAGGTGTTTTGTTGTAATATAGTAGCTACTGAGCCACCAAGATTGTTCGGGTTCAGTGATTTTTGGGTGGGCTTGTAGGGCTTAGGGCATTCCCTTTTGGGGCTTTGGGACTTTCTGGAAGTTTGAGAGGGTTTGAGGTTTCGAGCGGTGTCATCGCACCGCACCACAAGAACCTGCCGTACCCCCCCCCCCCCCCATGCACCCTGGACACTGCAAACCTTCTCTACCCCATGAACGTTTTGCCCCAGAACCCTTGAAGAACTGCCACCCTCTCCACCACATATACTTCATATTGCCCCAGATTATTTTTGAGTCCAGGTCCAAAAGCCTCTGAGCCCCAGGTGCGCTGCAGTGCTTAACATGCTATAGGAATGCCCTAAGTAATTACTCCGCCGAAGCCCTAAGCCCTTTGCCACATACACCCTAAACCCGACACCCCTAAACCCGGAAACCCCAATAACCCCCCAAACCCCTATACTCTAAACCCTAAGCCCGAAGCCCCCAAAACCTGCGCCCCTAACGCCCCATAGCCCTAAAACCCCTAACTCTAATCCCGAAGCCCGTAAACCCCAAAGTCATCCTAAACCCTAAACCCTAAACCCTAAACCCTAAACCCCCCCCAAAAGGCCCCCTGGTGCGCCAGGCGGCCGCCTCTTTGCAAGCCCATCGAAGTCCCTGGGGCCACCCAGACCCGTGTCCCTGCGCCGGCCGGCGAGGCACCTGAGCCTTCTCTTTTTTTTGAGGGGTTTGGGGTTTGGGGTTTAGGGTTTAGGGTTTAGGGCTAGAGAGGTTTTGAAGGGGGTTTAGGGTTTAGGTTTTAGAGGTGTTGAGAGGGCCTCACAGGGGTTTGGGAGGGTTTTGGGGTTTCGGGATGAGGGGTTGGGGTTACTGACTTTAAAGACTTAACATGGTTGGAGGCTTTGTGCTTTAGGGTTCCGAGGTTCAGAGCTTTAGGTGTTGAGGTGTAGAAAGTAGAGTGTAGGCTGCAAGGAGGGTGCTGCTTGCACCTCCTTTAGGGATGTCCTCGGTTTCATGTAGGAGGGGAGAGAGAGAGAGAGATTTGTTTTTTGTTTTTTGAGGTTTAGGGTTTAGCGTTTAGGGTTGTTTGGTTGGGATGCTCTCTTGCAGGTTTTGGCCATATGCAGGTCAGTCCTTACAACAGAAAACCCTCAACCCCGAACCCTACCCCAAACTCCAAAGCTCTAAACTCACTTGGGGGTTCATGGGTACTCATGGTTAAGTAGGGCCACAAGTACCCGAAATTGAGATATAAGTTAGAACTATAGCTACCCAACTTATTATAACCCTACAACATACCCATGAACCTCCCAGAACCCCTAAACCCTAAACCCTAAACCCTAAACCCCAAACCCCAAACCCTAAACCCTAAACCCTAAACCCTAAACCCTAAACCCTGGGTGCTTCAGGTCGGCTTGGTCGGGTGGAGGCGGAGAGATCGATGATGTGCTGCGCTCTGTGTCGGTGCCGGCCTGAGAAAGGATCCACCTTAGTCCCTAAACCCCATGTAAACCCTCAGAAACCTAAAGACCTAAGCAACCCTAAAGCCCTAAAACCCTAAAACCCTAAAACCGTAAACCCTAAAACCCTAAAGCCGAAAAACCCTAAAGCCCTAAAACCCTAAAACCCTAAAGCCCTAAAGCCCTACAGCCCTAAAACCCTAAAACCCTAAAGCCCTAAAGCCCTAAAGCCCTAAAGCCCTAAAGCCCTAAAGCCCTAAAGCCCTAAAGCCCTAGCATCCCTAAAACCCTCGGCCCAAAGCCCGCTCCTTGACACTTGAGCCATGCCATCCAGGGGAAGGCGGTGGCGGAGGCGAAGGCCCCCGACCTTGCTGCAAGAAATGGTGGGGAGGGTTTAGGGTTTAGGGTTTAGGGTTTAGGCTGTAGGGTTTAGGGTTTAGGGTTTAGGGTTTAGGGTTTAGGGTTTAGGCTTAGGGTTTAGGGTTTAGGGTTTAAGTTTTCAGGGTTGAGGGTGTACCAGGCTCAGAGAGCCTCTTGGAGTCTGTGAAGGGTTTGTAAAATTTAGTCAGCTTCGGGTTTAGCAAGCTTATAAACCCTAAATCCTAAACCTAAACCCTAAACCCTAAACCCTAAACCCTAAACCCTAAACCCTAAACCCTAAACCCTAAACCCTAAACCCTAAACCCTAAACCCTAAACCCTAAACCTCCTTTCTGGGCTTCCGGGAGTCGAGGGCTCCATGGCTTCGAGTGGACCCTGCCTTTCTTTGCATACTTGGGGGCGGGTACAGTAGTTCTAAGTAGGGTGATAGCAGGGCTACTATACTTCTTTTGGGGGTGCTTGCTCACCTTCCTGCTTATCTTCCATGAACCTCCAAAAGCAACCTATTTTGTGATTTAGCTACGATACCCTTTTTTGGGGTACTTACAAAACCTTCCGGCTTATTCTCCATGAAACCCTAAACCCTAAACCCAAAACCTAAACCCTAAACCCTAAACCCTTGGACTCCCCAAGTAGCAGGATTTTTCAGAGTCAGTTAGGCGCGTGGCTCGGGAGTTTTGTGGTGGCAGCCCTGGACTTTATTCATGTTTCAGGTTTAGGATTTAGGGTTTAGGGTTTAGGGTTATTTTTTAGATTTTAGGCTTTAGGTTTTAGATCTTAGATTTTAGATTTGAGGGTTTAGGGTTTGGATTTTGGATTCTAGGGTTTAGGCTTTCATTGAATCCACATACAGCCCAGTTTAGCGTCTTTGTAGCTCACCTTTGTAGCTCACTGATGACTTCTGGGGCCCTCCCCCCGCACAGTCCCTGAGCCGAGGGTTTCGACCTCTAGCGCCCCGAAGCGCCCACGACCCTAGACTCTGCCCTGAACTCCAAATTCCTAAACCCTAAACCCCAAACCCCGAAATCCTCAACCCGGAACACCTCCCCTCCGGGAAGGTTGGCGCCGATTCCTCAACAGTCGGGCAGCCCAAGGTATGGGTCGGGGATGGGAGTTTGCGCGTTCAGAGCTTGCGAGGACCATGACCCATTTCCCTTTGGAGGTTCATGGAGCTAGTTCTATAGTAGGGTTAGAAGTACATGAAACAAGGTCGTTTCTATAGTTTGGAGCACGCATGAATCTCCGAGCGCCCCCCCAAAGAAAAATAAGGAATCGTGTAGAGGGCCGCTCTAAACCCTAAACCCTATACCCTATACCCTAAACCCTAAACCCTAAACCCTAAACCCTAAACCCTAAACCCTGAACCTCTAGTCTATCATATGAGAATCTAAACCCTAAACCCTATACCCTATACCCTAAACCCTAAAACACCTTCAACAGCAGAAGCTCGAGAGCGGAGACCCAGGCGCTGAGCCCGGAGGCCGCGGTGGAGGCGCTGCTCCGCACGGCCGGGCCTGGCGCAGGCGCCGATGAATTTGGTTTGGTGTTTGGGTTAGGGTTTAGGGTTTCGGGCTTGGGGTTTAGGGTTTAGGGTTTAGGGTTTAGGGTTTAGGGTTTAGGGTTTAGGGTTTAGGGTTTACAGCTTGGGGTTTAGGGTTTGGGGTTTAGGGCTTAGGGTTTGGGGTTTGGGGTTTAGGGTCTAGGGCTTAGGGTTCGGTGGTGAGGGGTGAAGAGTCTTTTCTGCAAGAAGGATTCCTTTGTTCCAGGCCCTCAGAAGCCCCTACTAACCTTTTAAACTCCGAAGACCATAGAGACACACAGGGGCTCCCTCCCCAAGCCAAAACCCCACCCGTCAAAGACGCCGAGGCTCCCCGCCCCCAGAAGTCGTTGGCGCCGCCTTGAAGGCAAGGCCCCATCGCCCTAAACCCTAAACCCTAAGCCCTAAACCCTAAACCCTAAACCCTAAACCCTAAACCCTAAACCCTAAACCCTAAACCCTAAACCCTAAACCCTAAACCCTAAACCCTAACCCATCATGGTATGGGAACCTTGGCGGGCTTTTTGGGTTTAGGGTTTGGGGGTTAAGGGGCTAGGGGTCTAAGGGGTTTAAGGGGTTAAGGGGTTTAAGGGTTTTGAAGGGGTTTTGAGGGGTTTAAAGGGGTAGAAGGGCTTCAGGGTTGAGGGTTGAGGGATTTCGTGTTGAGGTTTGCGTGGTTTGAGGAATCCACATGGCTGGGCCCCGAGTCTCCGGGTTGCTGGGTTGCCTGGAGCTCCTTTGTCCAGCGTTGCCCCTGAGCCTCCTGACCTATCCCTGCATGTAGCTTCACCCATACCCTCGTTGAGCCCTACAAGTAACTACTTGAACACCCAAAACCCCAAACTGTGCAAACCCTAAACTGCAGGAAGCAACACCACGCTCAACCCGAAACCCTAAACCCTAAACCCGAAACCCGAAACCCTAAACCCTAAACCCTAAACCCTAAACCGACCCTAAACCCTAAACCAGGCCATGGGCGTCGCTGCGACCGCAGAGAACGCGGAGCGGGCGCTGCGAGCAGCCATGGGTGGGGCCCGGGGCCATTTCTGCTTCCTTTCGGGTGTTCCTTGGTTGGGTTAAGGGTTTAGGGTTTAGGGTTTAGGGTTTAGGGTTTAGGGTTTAGGGTTTAGGGTTTAGGGTTTAGGGTTTAGGGTTTAGGGTTTATAGGGTTTAGGGTTTATAGGGTTTAGGGTTTATAGGGTTTAGGGTTTATAGGGTTTAGGGTTTAGGGTTTAGGGTTCAGGGTTCAGGGTTCAGGGTTTAGGGTTTAGGGTTTAGGAATGTACGGCGGGCTTCCTTGCAGGTTCACGGATAGTTGCAACTAACTGGGCAGGTTCGGAGTATGGCATTTATACGCGTATTTCTGTATCATGTGCTACTTTTTTTATGCCTATACGTGTGACTATCCATGAACCTCCAATCCTGGACTCATGAGCTTAGAAAGTTTGGGGTGTGCAGGGTTTCCAGAGCTGAGAGCCTGTAGGGCTTTCACCGAGTTTGGGGCTTTCGCATTTTGAGCTGACCCTAAACCCTAAACCCCAAACCCCAAACCCTAAACCCTAAACCCTAAACCCTAAGAAGCCGGGCTAAGGCCTCGCCAACTGCAGACCAGGTTGCGGCGGCACAGCAAGCAGTCCCACACTGAGCTGCCTTCCAGGGCTTCGGGGCCAGGATTGAGGGGCTCAAGGGTGACAATAAGGCTAGTTGGTTTTTAGGGCTTCAGGTGATATCAGGTTTCGAAGGGTCTCAGTGAACGGTTCAGTGTAGGAACTTCGTGTGTTCATCCTTGGTCGGTGCTTTTGGGGCTTTTTGTGTAATTGTAGGTCGGCTTCGCAAGGGTCGGAATGTCCACGCAGCTTCATGCGTCATATGGCTGATATACATGCACGGGGCCTCAGCTTGAATTCAGACACCCCCCGCCCCCCCCCCCCCCCCCCCCCACTTGGAATTCTTTGCTGTTGCTTGATTTTATCGTTTTCCGGCTGTAACTTGGGTTTATTGTTGCTTTTGCTTTCTTTGTTTTCCTTCCTGGCCTGGGAGGAAAGGGAATTCAAGAAGAAGCCGCCGAGTCCAATCCTCATTTGCAAGCACCAAAAGTCGGAACACATCCCCAAAACCCCCTAAGTCTTTGACCCATCCCCAAACCGTAAGCCCCATAAGCCATAACTCAAAAGTTTATAAGCCCGAATCTTCAAGCCCTCTAAACCCAGGCCAGCGCAGGGCTGCCACCCGACTTCTTCGATCTGCCAGGCAGTAAGGGCCAAGCGCTTTACTTGAAGTGCCCCCAACCTACGTTTTTGCGGGCAACAGCCTTGTTGTATTTGCAAGCTACACAAGATAAGCGTTGGGTTCTTGAGGTCCGTGTCCTTCATCATGACCCTTAGCACGAGTAACGCAAGAGCTTCATTGTCACTCTAGGTTGACTGAACTGCCTTTTGCACATGCAGCTTGGATCCACAGATTTGTCCGCCAGAGTTGTGGTCCAGAGCTCGTAGTGGGTGATCATATCAAGTTTTGATCTGAGGTTGGGGGATGGACCGGTGTTCTGGATACGAAGAAGCCTTCTTGGCATTTGTGCATGCCAAGGAGGACGCCCAAAAAGCCTTCTCCCAGGACATTTCCTATGCTACAGCGAAGAAGGACGAGGCCAAGATTCGACATGAACAAGTGCTCGCAAAGATGGAAGAGCAGCTAGCACTGTGTTGCGGAGAATCTTCCGCAGTGCCAGAAAGTGAGCCCTTCACTGCAGAAGCCAGCCGTGCGTGCACTTTGGCCTCTGATTCACATGATTCCTTCACGCAAGCCAGTGAAGCGGCAGTTTCGGGTACCCGGACACGGCCCTTGAACATGAAAGATCTGAAGGAAGCTTGGTTTTCCAATGTCAAGGTTTTTCGTTGAGAACGGGTTGGAGCTGATTGTTTTTTGTGTGCCATCGGTTTGGCCTTGAACAAGAAAGGACTGCGAGCGCCAGTACGAGGAGGCTTTGAAGGACTACAAAGCTTCCTGCCTGGCACTTCACAAGGTTAGGCAGATAGGCGAAAAACACATGGACGAAGCCATGATTCGAGCCGCGCTTGAGTTTCGGCAAGCGTGCTATCCGCCACTGAGCTCGGAGGAAACGGCTTACCCCGAAGCTTTTCAGCAGTTCTCGGCATCCAACTTTGCAGATTTTCCGATATTTCCGGCCCACTCTTGCGAGAAACAAGCCAGACGGAAATGACAAGTTTGTTAAGTGGCCATTTGAGATCCAAGGCTGGTGTTGGAAGCAAAATACTCAAGGGAAGACTTGCGCGCATCGTTGAAGTCCTGGCTGTGGGGGTTTGGCTGCTGGGGCCTTTACTAGTCCTAGTCACTGCAGCAACATGCATGTTTTTTCTTTGCTCCAAAGAACGGAAAAGACAGCAAGAGACTGTTGTTTGGTAGTATAGTTCATGACATGACTGCCTTCATCTGTCCTGTCCGGGTGCCGAGGCTACCGCGAGCTGCGCGACATTGCTTTTGACGCAGATGAGCCCGGCTTCCAGGCTTCCTTGGCAAAAGCCTGGTCTCGGGGTCCATTGTGCCATGATGTGAACAGATGCTTGTACAAAGAGGATCAGGTCACAATGAAGGCGTTAGCACCCTACATCCAGCATTTCTTGGAGGCTTTTCGGGGCTCGCAGGCCAATGCGGAGAGGCCATTGAGACCATATGACGGGCGCGTATTTCGGTTCATGTCCCTGGATGCAACAGAGCTGCGGAAGTACCAGAAGGACTCGATCATTGTGTGGCCCACGTTCTCGTCATGCACATATGATGAAGACGGTATGAAGAAAACAATGATTAGTGCTACCGCTAATGCTACCTTTGAGGTCCGCATCTACGGGGCAGCGGAAGCAGCATCAGATAGGCCAGATCTCTTCTACTTGCCATGTGTGATCGAAGACCATGTGCATTCCTGCTTCACTTACGAGAAAGAAGTTGTGATGCCTCCCTTCTGCCGATTCCGCGTGGTCAACGTGAACAAGTCGAATGGCTGGTTGTCGACTCAGACCCGCATTTTCTTGGAGACAACGCAGTTTCCTTCTGTGTGGCAGAGTATTAATGCTGGTCAGACAGATGATTTCGTGATGTGGGCGAAGCAGAACGAAGACTTGTTGAGCATGACGGGGAATGACGTTTCCATTGTAAACGAGATCGCCAAAGCTACTGCCCAGGCTGTGAAAGGAACCCACGCGCGATGCTCCGCGCATGATTGCAGCAGCCACAGGCATGTTGGCAGCCTGTGCTGAGGGGGGTGCTCCCTTGAGCGAAGTAGATCCAGAAACAGGTTCAACAGCCGTGTTTACTATCGCAGAAACCTTGGCGGCATTGGGCTCAGATGGAAAGGGGACAAAGGGGATTGACATACAAGACGGTTTGAAAGGAATGATCAAGGGAATGGCGAAGTCTGGCGCGAATATGACGATCCCGCACAAAGGCCAAGTGGTCAACGACCTTCTTCCAGGCTTGGTAAGCGAGCTTGACAAAGAGAAGTTGCTTGTCTCCAAGTGGCAGTATTGGGTGGACGATGGAGTAGATGGCAAGTCAGATGGGTGGTATGACTACCAAGCACACGCCTGGAAGTTGGTAAGCCTTGCTTACGACGACTGGCTAAGGGATGGAACTGTCACAGAGATGATCGTGAGGAGCGGATGGTTCAGCTACAAAGTCAGTTTCGGACAGATGTCGCAGCTGAACACCAGCACAGGGAAGCAGCGGCGCATTCGTCGCATGGTATGTGATGCTCACTCCCTCGGCTCCGGAACCTCACCATGTGCAATTGCATAAGTAGAGGCTTACCGCATCGGAGTGCAACAGATATAAGGCCATAAGGCGCGAATAGTGAAGGTTCTCGAGAAACCGCATAAAGGATGTTAGGCTGCAGACCTGCTGACACAACGTCGCAGAAACCTTGCCTTGAGCTACGGCTTGGAGCTGCACAGTTTTGAGGATTGAAGGTAAAGCGGTGGAAGGTACTGCGAACGAGATATGCTCTGAGAGTAAGGATCGGCACGAAAAGGTGTTGGAGCTTACTTGTGACCCTAAGAATCCACAATCAGCACCTAAGAACCCAAACCTTTTTTCCTGAGCCCAAAGCTCTAAACCCTAGACTCTAAATCCAGACCCAAAAGCCCCTGCAACCTTCGCATACCCCGCACTGGCCGCAGATGCACCAGCTGCCGCCGCGGTCGCGTCGGGCCCTCTCCATTTCATGAAGCTTGGGGATATAGGGGGCACGTATGTATTAAGCTCCAAATGAAGAGCGGGGGATATTCAGCCCAAGATCCTCGCAGCAATCGAAGCTCCCCCCCCCCCCCCCCCCTTCCTTGACAGAGAGGCCGCTTGGCGCCGCGAAGAGCCCGGAGGAGGTTATCCAGATGCTAATCCAGGCGCAGGGGTCGTTGAGGAGATTCGAGCTTCGGATTCAGGGTTTAGGGATTCAGTTGGGGGCTTGGGGGTTTTAAATGTATTTAAACGGTTTGGGGTGTGGGGGCGCATGGAGGCCCTAAAGGCCCAATGCATTCGACAGCTCGCATAGAAATCACCAGAGTTACCAGGGGGCCCCATTTCCTTGTAATACTCGTTTACCTTTGTTCTTCAACCGTGGGAGAGGCGGCGGGGCCGGGCGCCGGGCATCCTCCGGCCGACGTGGTGGGCACCGCGCTGCGGCAAGCAGGTCCCGCTGATCCGCCCTATATACCCGCGGGTTTAGGGTTTAGGGTTTAGGGTTGCCCCATAATTGGTTCATGTGCCCTATGAACCCTAAGGCCTAGTAGGGTTTGTGGTGTTGAGTTTATAGGACCTGAGTTCGGGCTGAGAGTTCGTTTTGGGTTGGTGCTTCTCTAGGGTTTCGTCAGTTTGTTTTGGGGTTTCGTTTCTTTTCACCAGTTCTTGAGCATAGACTGGTCGAAACAGGAGCAACCTTGGGTTTGAACATGGGTTTCGGGTTGAACAGTGAAGTTTCCTATGCAGCCCTGAACCAACACCCTGTAAACCTTATCATCCCGAGAAGAGTGGTGTTTGGCCTGCGCGGGGTTTCTTGCGAAGAGTTTCGGGGGCCGAAGATGGTGTTTGGATCTGTGCGGGGTGTAGGGGTGGTGGGTGTTGTTCTAGCTTTTCGGGCTTCCGCGTCTCTTTCAGATCAGATGCACGTTTGAGTATAGTTTAGGGCGCAAAGGGTTTTTCAAGGGCCCAAAATATAGGACAGCCAAAACTGCCATACCAGCATTCTCCCTGTCCTCCCCTCTGAATTCGACATCCAGAGAGATACATAAATTTCTAGCTCACGCCTATGCAGATTTCAACACATAAACCTTAAACCCTCAACCCCAGTTCCCTATAAACCCCAAAAGGTCTCTAAACTCTATAAACCCCAAAAGGTCCCTAAACCCCTATAAACCCCAAAAAGGTCCCTAAACCCCCAACGCCCGCAGACGCGTCGAATGCCTTGGGACGGTGGGAGCGGCCGCAGGCGTGGAAATCACCACTGACAACGTTATCCGCGCCCTCAAGGAGGCGTGGGTTCAGGATTTCGGGTTCAGGGTTTAGGGTTTAAGGACACTCTATTGGGGACTACATGAACCCTTGAAATGCCATAAAGAGATACTAGCAGCGGAGGCTATATTATCCCAATTAGGGTTCATTTGGCCGCCAAGGTCCTTTGCGGCCTCCCCCCCCCTCCCTTCTTTCCTTTTCATGCTCGAGGCATGCACTTGCAGCATCGACCATCCGGAGAAGCTCTCTCTCAAAGACTATTCTGATGCACGCAATTTCGCAGCTTCAAAGAACCAGGGCTTCCCTTTATTAAAGGACCTTCTGAGAGCGCTTAGAACAAGCAACCAGGGTGTGCCTTAAAGGACCTTTGAAAACTCTAAGCACCCTGGCCCTGAAAGAGTCAGTATGCGCGGATCCGCAAAGGCGGCCGGCCCGGGCGCAGGGGAACCCTCCTCCAAGGCCAAATGTGTCAAAGGGGGGGAGGTTTTGGGTTTAGACGTTCCGGGCTTGAGGGTTCAAAGGTTTCGGGAGTTTAGGGTTTCCACCAAGCCCTAAAATCTAAAGTAGCCTGAAGCCTAAACTCTGAGCGCTATACTCTAAACCCTAAACCCTAAACCCTAAACCCTAAACCCTAAACCCTAAACCTCAGGTTCCCCCTCCAAGAAAAGAACTGCGAAGCATCGGAGGTGCTCGGCGAGGCCCTCAAGGCAGCCATGGCAGCCCCGGGTCCAAATGGCTACGGCGTCGGCCCAACGTGGCTTTGCCTGAACCCTGAACCCTGAACCCTAAACCCTAAACCCAAACCCAAACCCCAAACCCTAAACCCTAAACCCTAAACCCTAAACCCCAAACCCCAAACCCCAAACCCCAAACCCCAAACCCCAAACCGCAAACCCCAAACCCCAAACCCTGCCCTGAACCCTAAACCCCGAAATTGCCCTGACACTTTTGACTCCGCAGCCCTAAGCCCTACAAACTCTAAACCCTCGGAAATTGCTGTCGAACTTTTTGATTCACAAGCTCAAGGAGGCCTATGGTAGAGGCCCTACAAGCCAAAAACTAAACGACTTAAAGCCTAAAGCCCTTGTTTCAAAGAGCACAGAAGCCCCAAAGCCGTTCAACATCTGCAAGCCCCGAAGAGCGCCACACCCCAAACGCGCCCAGAACCCTAGAAGCCCTCAACCACCCCTGCAAGCACAGGGATTACAGTAGCATAGGGCATATATGAGCCCAGTTTCAAAGTCTCTTCCGAAACCCAAAGCCCTAGAAAACCCAAGAGGCCCTGAGTCGTCCCCAAGGAATGAGGCTTGGAACAAAACTGCCGGAGTCTTATGGTTCCCTTCATCCCCAAACAACCCTAAACCCTACACCCGAAACCCCAAACCCCAAAACCCCAAAACACCTAAACACCTAAACCCCATACACCACCCTAAACCCCAAACCCCAAAACCCTAAACCCCCAAATTCCCGAACCCCAAACCAAGCCCAGGTCGGACGCCCTGAAGGGCGCGGCGGGCGCCGCGGCGGGCGCCGCGCCGGGCGCCGCGCCAGCGCCGGGCGCAGGAGCGCCACAGACCCCCGAGGAGGCCGCCCCTGCTTCTGTGGGTTGGGGTTTTAGGGTTTAGGATGTATAGGTTTTGGGGTTTATAGGGTTTATAGGGTTTAGGGTTATAGGGTTTAGGGTTTAGGGTTTAGGGTCTGTAGGTTTCATGTGGGTTGGGGACGGACAGTTGGGGTTGGGGATAGAGAGTTTGTCCAAGGTGGTGCAGACGCTGCTGGCCCTCGCTGGGCAGGACTTTTATCTGGGTTTGGGGGTACTATGCTTTGGTTTCGTGGTTCAGGGTTCCTGTATTATAGCTACTTATCCCTAAAAGTATATGAGACAGGGTTGATATTTCTGTTTTTGTTGAGGGTATATGAGGCTCCTTTTGAATTTTGGTGACTGTATGTATTGGGTGTCCTTTTGGGGATACAAGAAATATAAACCCTACATCAGATTTTTTTCCAGGGTCTACTCAAAAGTAGGGTTATGATGACACGATGCGGAGACTGGTCAAGACCCAAAACCCTGAAACCCAAATCTCCAGCAACTCTTAATTAACCCCTGCACCCTCTACCCACCACGTACCCCCTAAAACTCTAACCCCATTAAACCCTCAACTCGCTAAACTCCCTAAACCCTAAACCCTTAACTCCCTTAACCCTAAGCCCTACAAATCTTGAACTCCCGAAGAGTTCCGTGAGGATGCCGGCGAGGCCCCGGCCGAAGTACTGGGCGCAGCCCTCGTAGCCGGAGGCGTTTAAGGGGGGGCGGGGGGGGGGGGGGGGGGGGGGGGGGGGGGGCGGGGGGGGGGGGGGGGTGGGGGGGGGGGGGGGGGGGGTGGCGGGGGGGGGGGGGGGGGGGGGGGGGGTGGGGGGGGGGGGGGAGGGGATCATTGCGGGCTTAGGATTTAGGGTTATAGAGCTTTAGGGGCTTTGAGGTAGGGGATGGTAAGGGTGAATATGGTTGTCGAGCTGAAGGTTGAGGGTGATTTAGGTTTCGAAGTTTAACTGCTCTCAATGCCAGCCCCCACCCCTCCGCCACCGTTTTAGAGTATTGCAAGCCCTCAAGCCCTCAACCCTACAAACCCTAGACCCTGAGCTAATGCCCTAAACACTTTGCATATGCACTCTTAAACCTCAATCCCTAAACCCCAAGCTCCCCTACAAAAGCGCGCCGTGGTGCAGTGCTGCGAGCCCGGACTCCTGCTGGGGTTTGGGGGCAGGTTTTGGGCTTCTTTGGCTTGAGAGGGCTTAGGGGTTTTGGGCTTTGGTAGGCTTTGCAAGTCTCAGGAGCTTTTGGGGCTGTTTTGAAAGTGATGGCTCTGCTGTGGGATTCTTAGGCACAGTACAGGAAAGTAGGCTTTTTGGGTTCTTAAGGCAGGGATCCTAAGAAGTTCCGAACGGCGAGCGCTCTGGGCAGGACTGCCAGCGTCACGCGAGAACGTGTTGCGGGCGCTGAAGGCTCCGGGAGACTCCCCCCAAAAGCAAGCCTTACCTTAAACCCTTCTAGGGGTTAGGGTTGGGCTATACAGTTTCCTAGTTTTGTGGTTTTTTTTGAGTGGGACGTTTTTTTGTTGTGGGGGGTCACTCGCCTTTTCAGTCGCCGAGCGCATGCTATCAAGCCTCCCAAAGCCCTAAACCCTAAACCCTCTTCCCGAAGTGGCCCTGGAAAGTGCGGCTTGTAGGGCAGCTACGGTTGGTAGGGCTTCACGAAACCTCGAGCTGCAATAGGACCGAAATACCCCGTCAGCCTCAGAACTCGGGTATTTACATGGGCCCTGAATATGGTCCTTACCTCCCTGAAAGAGTTCTGATGTATGGGCCCATACGAAGTGACCATGAGACTACCCCAAGATAGACCCCTAAACAACCCTAAGCTCTACAAACTCTAAACCCTAAACGGTAAAACCAGCCTTGGAGGTTCATGGGTAGTTAGAAGTAGGGTTCTGGGCATGGTAGGTATATTGGGGGTCCCTTATTCTCGTAAACCCTAAACCCTAAACCCCGAACCCTAAACCCTGAACCCTGAACGCTATTTTCGCAAACCCCCCAAGTAGCGTTTTGGCTTCATCGGCGCTCCATGATGCCCAACCACAGCTGGATTCCTCAACCTTCTGCGAGGCTGCTGGGCGAGCCTCGCCCACTGAGGAGGCGCACTTGTTTTGGCGGTATAGGGTAGACCCTAAGCCGGAAAACCCCGAACCCCTATAATCCTAGAACCCACCCTTATACACCGCAACCCTCAATGAATCTGGGCTTAGAAACCCTAAACCCTAAACCCTAAACGCCAGGATGTGCAGAAGGCCATGGCTGCGGCGGCCGCCGGGGCGGCCGCCGGGGCGGCGGTTCCGCCCGTGGCGCCCGGCGGCATGTCGACGCCCGAGGAGGCTGTGGGATGTCACAGGGTTTAGGGTTTAGGGTTTAGGGTTTAGGGTTTAGGGTTTAGGGTTTAGGGTTTAGGTTTAGGGTCTCGGGTTCAGGGCTTCTATGTTGACACAAGTGCCCCAAGCCCGCTGAAACCGTAAAAGCCGGTAAGCACCAAGCCCCTGCCACCCTAAAGAAACCCAAATCCCGGAAAACCCAAGCCTGCATTCCATAAACCCTCGAAGATCATGACATGTTGCCCTAAACCCTCAAATGTTGCACCCGGTTTTGTTGGGGTTGCCCGCTATCATCACAAGTTTTTGGGGTGTAACATTTTGGGACTAGGGCAGCTGTAGTTGGAGGCCTTTTTCGCCTTTGCTGCTTCTGAAGCACACTTGGGGGTCCGGGACAACATGAGTTCACGGGGGGTCGGTACCTAGGGAACCTCAGGGAATCCTAGGGAGCTTAGGGAGGAGTGGGGGGGTAATCGGGAACCTTGAGTTAAATTCCCCCCTTGAACCCCCCCCCCCCCCTCCCTTAAGGACCTTGTGAAGAACTTGGATCCCTACTTAAACGCCGAGTTCGAAGCACTTTCAGACAACCCCGAGACTGTTTTGAGACACCGAAAGCCCCGAACGCCTTTGACAAGATTTGGAACCCTACATCCCCAATGCCCCCAAAGAGGGTTTAGGGTTTAGGGTTTCGGAATACGTACTCGGAGGTTCATGGGTAGTTATAAGTATGGTTAGAAGTATTGGGAGTATACTTACAATCCTATGTCAGGGTACTTGTAGCCCTACCTATAAGCACCCCTAAACCCTATAAGCCCTAAACCCTAAACCCTGAACCCTACTTCTAAGTACCCCTAAACCCTTAAGCCCTGAACCCTAAACCCTAAACCAAGTCGAATCCGCGCAGGTGGTCTTCGCGCTTCGCACGGCCGCTGGGCCCGGCGCGGGGCGGCCACCTGCTCAGGCGTGTGCGGCTTCGCTAAGTGGCCTACATAGTTGTCCAACACCCTAGCCATAAACCCTAAACCCTTAACCCTTAAACCCTAAACCCAAAGCCCTAAACCCTAAACCCTAAACCAACCTTAAACCCGAAACCCTAAGGCCTGACAGGGCTTTTGGGCTTCGAGGGTCCTACGAATTCTTCCAGGCTAGGTATACCTCAGAATCTCAGACGGGGGCTCTATCCCAGCTCATGCTTGAAGAGGGCTTGTTCGCAAAGCACCCCGCCAAGTTTTCTGAACCCCTTCAACCCGGCATCACGGGATCTTGCCGCCCGAAAAGAGTAGGGGTTTAGGAACTTTGTTGGGGGTTTGGAGGTTTCTACCATGAGGAGCCCCTCCCAATAACAGTGAGTTGCCAATGTAGCTGATGCGAGTGCTCAGTGAGAGCCACGATGTACAACACGCAGCCGCAACTGGCTGTGGTGCACAAAGCTGCGTTTGGATGAGCCTCGGGGGCTGTGAGATTTTGGTTTGGGGCAAGTGGGTGTTTGGGTCCTGAGGCCCTGTGGTTAGGGTTTAGGGTAATGCTGCCAAAGGGGTCCACTCTAGGACTCTGCTTACCTTCAGTTTATTTCGTAGCAATTGCTCCTCAACTCGTGGGTACGAGCCGAACCCATACACTTAAACTCGAAACCTTCAGGTCAAGTCCCAGGTAGGCTGGCCTCCTAAACCCTAAACCCAAAACCCTAAACCCTAAACCTTAAAACCCAAACCTAAGCCCACCCCCCCTTTGACCAGGTGGTTGGAGTGGCGCTCAAGCAGGCGCAGGTGGCAGTTTACGATTTCTTTTCGGTTGTCGGGTGTAGTGTTTATAGGGTTAGTAGGGCTTATGGCTTATGGGGTACCCTACTGGCGTTTAAAGGGCTTGTAGGGAACATGGGGCCAAAACGGTTTTTAGGCAGGGCTACAAGGGTCCGTTGTATGAGAGGGGCAGTATATAGTCACCAGTCCCTTCTAGTCCAGGGCTGATGATCTAAATCTTTCCCAAGAAAGGTGTGCACCTCTTCGAAACCTTCCAAACACTACAATACTGTAGGAAGACCCAAAAAGGGTGTCCAAATTTTGGGAAAGGGTTCAGGGCCTTTTGGGGTACCGTTACCAGGTGATAGACCAATTAGGTTAATGGGGGCTCCCGGTACATACTGCTTACCTACACTCCAAACCCCCCCCCCCCCCCCAAGTCGGGTTTAAGTATATATGCTTTGGGGCAGATGAGGGTTTGGCGCGCAGCCAGGAGATGCAATACAAGAGGCGCATATGCCTAACGCGCCCTCCTGAACCTGACAAACCCTCAACGACGGCTGCTGCAGTTGACACCGCTGAGCGCGGAAGTCGTCATCCGAGCCCTGAAAGAGGCGCGGGTTCACAGTTGTGGCGGCCTTGCTGGGTTGTTGAGCTTGGCAAGATTTTCGAACCCGCCTCAATCCTTGGTTTTGCAGCCAGTGCAACTGATCTTGACTGCTTCGGATCTAATTCGGGATGAGTATTTGCGGCTTGGGATTCGGGGTTTTGAATCGAGGGTTTGGTGTTTAGGTCCTAGGGTGGGCTTTGTTGCAAAAGGAGGGACCCCTAGAAGCCTTTATTCTCATTCCCCTTTGTAACCTCTATATTTTCCTTGTACAGTCAACATGTACCTAAGTAGCCCCCTAAATACCCCCTAGAGAACCCCTAAGGTCCCTTATAAGGGTCCCTCCTGTAGTCCCTTGGCTGGGGGTTTCAAGAGGCTTCAACCCCTCACACCAGGCAGGATACAATCAGCCTTCGGCCGAGGATGTGCAGGCCACCAGTGTTCAGTCAAAGGCTTAGGGCTTTCGGGGTTTAGGGTTTAGGGTTTTCGGGTTTAGGGTTCAGGGGTTTAGGGTAGGGTCATCAAGGGTCTAGAACCCTATGCCCTGAACCCTGAACCCTAGGGTCTACGGTTTCGGGCTCGGCTTGGATTTCGGGCTTTGGGTTTGGGATTATTGGTGTTTGGGACTTTGA